TCTTGATGAGGATGAAAATTTTGGTGAGTTTGGTCAAGCATCAACTGAGCAACCAACTGGTTCAGCATTGGCAGACAGTGAAACAAAGAACAAAGGTCCTGTTCCTTCCGACACACATAACCCAGATCAGATAGATGATTCAGCATCAGGTTCTGTTCCAGATTGGTGTGTTTGTGGCAGATGTCACCCCATGACACAAGATGTCGAGAATAAATGTTGCAAACTTAAAAAATGCATAACGCTTTCTTCCCGATTCGCGAAATTGTGTCTGGATCCTGATGTGATAGACTTGTGCATAAGAAACACAGGGGATATAAGAAACGATAGAGAAGACAACAGCAGTAGGGCTTTTCCAAAAGCAGCCTATAGGCAATTTATTCTTGCACGCCATGGGCATCTTCGTAAAGGAAACAGACGAGTCTGCCCTTCATGTGTAGTAATGAAAATAAGGGAACGGTGGCCATCCATTACTGGAGTTTACATGGGGTATAGGGAAAACTAAGTACAGTAAACTATGTACCTTAACATAATGTGTTGCATGGACATTGCATACAGGGCTGAAGGAAGATGGTAAAAATAAGGCAGGCTCAACAGCGATTTTTATTTTCCACTCTTTCCAGGGGTTAGATTTACCTAGATTGATCTGTATTATGCAAACTCAAAACATGTGCAACTGTGCATTCATTTCGAGATTCACTTAGAAATTAGAATTTTCAGGGGGCCCTGCCCCCCATGGTTCCTACGGCCATGATTGCATCATTTGGTGTTACAGTGTATATTAAATCTATTGACTCAGTGGCACTCTGCTGAAATGCACCAACTTATAAATCCAAACTTTTGAACCCAATTCTTCTGAGTGCATATAACAAGTTAGTGCATTGGTACGGTACAATGTACATAATGGTTAATATTTAGTTCATATTTAGAGCTGTGATTATTTATTTAAATTTGCAATGATAACAAAAAAATAGATAATTAATTGTGTACATTAAATTTTAGAAGCACAGCAAATTGCCTCAAAATATTTACATTAATTAGTCACTGCATTTTGAAATGGCAGCAATCACTGACATCAATCTTCAATATTTATTGTTTTGCAAATCTGCTTCTTCTTGTAATGATTTCTTTAGTGGTTGGTGGTGGAACATGTGCAATAGTTGGCGATATAAGGGCCGGGTCGCTCTTGTTCAGATCAACGACTGTTGTAACAAAATTTGTGTCCATAGCTCTTCTCCTCATCATGTGGGAAATAAGCACTGGGATGTATGCATATCCTTTTTCTTGCTTCACCTTCTTAATATCCCACTGCCGGGTTCTCTGGTTGTATTTTCGGGTGACAACGTTATTACCAGACTTGGATGTTTTCTGTGGGAGGTCAACATGGAAATTCCAATCAATAGCAGTGAGTTGCCGTCTTGCTTTGTAAGTTTGATAACTAAAATTAAATTAATCAGTCATTATTAATGCCCAATGGGGGGCTATGAAAAAGTTTTAAGGTGTAAAAGGGGGGCACAAACATATTTTCAGCATGAATGGGGGGGGGGTGGCTATGAAATATATATTCTCACTAGAGAGGGGGGCGGGGTGTCATAAAAAATTTAAAATATTTCTTAAAAAAATAAGGGGTTGTAATATTTTTTTTTGTATTTTGAAAATTTGTGTTGGTGTTTTATACTCAGGTGAATATGATATATTGATGTTGACTGGGCACAGCAGATCGCAGGTTCAATTCTCACCATGGCCAGGTTTTCAGCCTGCTTGGCATGGACACTTGGAGTACCATCAATGTGTCATATTCATACTTGCTAAAAACTTACTTGAAGGGAATTCTCTTTGGAGTATATACCAAACCAAGACTGTTCACACACTCAATACTACCAGTATGCCTAAAGCAGATGAAATATTTAAAAAAATGCCTATATAATTCAACATTGTCTTTGAGACATGTATTGTAACAACCAGGCAGGGACGTAGCTATGGGGGTGCCCCCCCCCAAATGCAGTGTCCATTGGCACAATAAACAGCAACAATTTTTTCGGGGGAAGAGGTACCTAAATACCCAGTATCGTAAATAGGGCTAAAAGCCACCTTTATGTTAGGTCTTTCTGAAAAATATTTGGGCAGAGGGGGGAGGTCATTGGAAAATTTTGAAATTCTGTTGGAAATTTCGGGCTGGCAGCACCCCCCCCCCCAATCACGGGATATTCGCAACGTCACACCTGCAACTAGGGCTTGTGACAAGACACTTTTACTTTACCTGAAACGAGTATAATACTTGAAACTGTCAAGTAGTTGAGAGTTTAAAATAACTTTTTGTAACTCGATAAAGTCTTTATCTCGACGATCAAAAAAGGGAAGACTTTTGTCATGGCTATCATCACCATCTGTATCAACATGGTCACATTGTCCCCCTAGCCATTGGTGATCATCCGTGAACATGGACACATTTATTGCATTGGTTATAGTAGAACCAGATATAAATAATTTGAGATACAACAAATATATTGTTGCTACGCACATTCACAATTCCATAATAAACTACAAATATTACTTTACAATCAGTACCTGTCAAGAAGGGTTGCATCAGACCGAGCAAAGCTTGTATTCGCATCAATTGTTGCAATGGTATTATCCTCGACTTCATCTCCAATAACAGGGGATTCAGATGGAGAAGGAAGCTGTAGGCTTTCTCCAGTTTTTAACGGCGTGGATGTTTCTTGGCCTTAAAGAAATTGTAATCCATTGTAATCGGCCATGTTCAATGCATTACATCCATTCATTGAACTACCCATTTGACAATTCATCAACATTGATATAGCATTCTGTTGCTTGTTTACTGTAATAGTATATCATTTGGGGCTATTTATGTTTGTGGACGCACAGGGATTACCTTGATAAATATTTTGAATGGCTTGTTCTGTTATTTCTGTAGCACATTCGGTGGTTGCTTCACTTTGCGTTCGTCGCTGTGAATGCTTTATTTCCGACCTAAAATAGTTAAACAGCACACATTTCATTACGTCTTACAAATTGAATCAAACTTAAACATACAAATTTCATTATCCGTACCTTCTTCTATACTCTAAAGATAACAGATGCGCGGCGAAGTCGCTATGACTACATTTGTCGTATCCCGCCTCGCTTTTTGAGCTTTTCCACGCTTCAAAAATGTTATTCAATAAATAGATCCTCTTGTGTTGACCTCCCCACGATTTTCTTCGATTTTCGCCTTCATATTTCCTTTTTCGTCCTGCATTTTCACGATGACCTCCTCGCACAGCTCCCTGCAAGGACGCCATCTTGAATAGTGAAATATGATAGTGAAATAGTTTGAAAAAACACCGCGGAAAAACGTCTGCGTATGCGTCAACCTTACCTGTAATAGTATTACGAACTTGATGAAAAGCTGTTCCGAACGTTTCCGAAGGCTCAAAATGGCGGTAAAAAGGAGTGACTTCGTTGTGCGTCTTTACAGCCAGATTTCGAGCGCGAAAATAAAGATGTCATTCTAAAAGCTAGGAATAAATACAGCCAGAAGGTTCAAGAAATTGTATTGTACAAGAACATGAACTAAAGGTGATTGTTGACAAATTTATCGTCTGTCTGAAACATTTTGTTTATCAACTAAGCAACGACAATTTCCGAATTTTCGTTTGAGATACATTTCTTTAAAAAAAACTATGTCGCCAAATATAAAAAATTTTCGTGTTCACAATAATTAAACTATAGGATTTATTCTACAATTTGAATGGGTTAAGAAGCTTAACTTTTCGAGAGTTTTCTTAACTTTTTAGTTTGAATTTTTGTTTTGAATAATTTTGCAAAAATTTTCGAAGTCGTGTCCGTTAAAATCAACAATTTTTTACATGAATTATATTTCATTCCATACTTTAAATGGCAGGACGCTTTCAATTAATGTCTAGTCTACCCATTTGCTATATTTTCTCGTTTGTTTTACTAATTTTTGACCAATTAATAAGCATGTTTTTGTTTTAGAAATTGATATTCAAATTACCCGCCATATTTTCATAATTTGGTGCATGCGCAGACGTTTTTCCGCGGTGTTGTTTGAAAACGTTGGCCCAACGATATCAAATTTCACTATGCGCAGAAAAGTTGCGCAAACGGTGACACTGCTCCTTTAAGCCCATAGATATCTCATATACACTAGATAGCGCCAGTGAACTCTATATATAGATATCTGGAATGATAACAGCGAGCGAAAAGTGAAGCCGACAAAAAAATCACGACATAAGTATTCGTCATTGTCTTCGTCATCAACTGTTCAAGAACTTTCTTACAGTATTAAAAATCACTTACATATAAAATTTGTAATTGTTTTGAAAGTTTTTATCACAGTTTTTATATCTTTATTCACTTTTAACCTGAAGATGGAGTTATACTCCGAAACGTAGTTATTAAAATAATTTTTTACTAAGCCCATATGGTCCAATTTATATTCAAACACACGTACATATTCATTTACATTTTGCTGGCAGGCAAATTCCGATCACACATAAATTCTTTAAAAAATAACGTACCAGTGTATTGACTAAAAACTATAAAACTGGTAAACTAAAAAACAATTCAAACAATCGCGAAAAATGACAACGGCAAAGTCACAGTTGCAAGTCAATTTACCTATACCTGTGAAATGAAATTTTCTCGCAAGAATATCTCCTTCCTTGTGCATCCAGAACGACAGTACGACACAATATATTTGAAAAAGTGATTCTTTTCTCCACACGGTGAAGTTTTCCTCGACTTTTTTCCGACAGCGAACTCAATGCAGTAAATTTTAGGAGCAAAACTGTTTGCTCCTACAATGTATTGCATTGAGTTGGCCATGTTTTTAATTTTTTTTTCGTGATTGCGTTCAAATTTATACTGGCCGTGCAACGGTTTACAAGAGGGGGAATGAAACTGACGTCCAATCCGCGTAAACCTGACGTTTGAGGGACTGAGACTGACGTCCAATCCGCGTGAAAGACTGGTATCGAGGCTTCATTTTTTTCGCAATCAAATGACTGAATGTTATCGTTCCAGATATATATATATATATAGAGTTCACTGGATAGCGCATCTCGGAATACAAAACTGAAGCCAAAAATCTCAGCGGTTTCCCCCATGGAAATAGGCGGCGGCCATATTGGTCGTTCGCCTTGAAATCGCAGCTTTTTTGGAAAAGGGTACAAGAAAAAACATTAATTGGCGATGTTGTTGTCTTTGAATCGCATTTTAAGGCTAAAAATTTCGAATTACGACATTGGCTTTATATACTTGTTTTGAATCTGTGAGTGATTCTCTGGTGAAGTATCGTCTAATCAATACATGTACTTACGGTTTCTGGCACCACTTTATGGAAATGGAAGTTGGTAAGTAACGTTTCGACTATCGGCGTAGGCAGTTTATACTGTAAAAACAGAGTCTGCACTTTCAGTTTGGGCAGTTTTCACTGTAAATCTTTAGTGAAATGTTTGAGACAGTCTGAGTCTGCACTTTCAGCTTGGGTAGTTTTCACTCTAAATCTTTAGTGAACGTTTGAGACAGAGTTTGCACTTTCAGCTTGGGCAGTTATCACTATATAAATCTTTAGTAAAATTATGTTTGAGGCAGAGTCTGCACTTTCAGCTTGAGCAGTTTCATAGTAAATTTTTAGTAATATTTAGCTTTCTCTGATACATTCTGTGTAATCACTCACACTGGTGCTTACAGTAAAAGGTACAAGTTTATTTAATTTCTTTCTAATTTTTTGTCCAGATGAATTCTCAGTGGTCTTTTTTCCAAGATGGTAAAATTTAACCTCACAGTAACTCTTGATGATGCTCTTGGTCAACTGAAATATACCGGGTGGCCCAAAAAAAAGTACTCCTGTTTGATTCGTAATAACTTCTAAACAAGTAAAGTTTTTAAAGAGAAATAACTTGCATTAAATAGAGGAAGTACTAACTTAGATTTTGATATATTACAGTTGTATTTAACTTAAAAATTCACGGAGATATTAATGTTAAAAAGGGGGAGCATATTTTGGAATGTGTCTAAAATTAGCGAAAATCGCCATATCAAATATTAACTCCAGCGTTTGTTTGCTTAATGACATATCAGGCTAACTTGTATTTCAGCGAATTATCGTTAGGGTTTGTAAGGGATATGGCGTAGATTTAGACATCTTACATGTAAGTCTTAGCTCATTGTTCCTGAAATATGAACGTTCGAAATTATGCAAGTATTTAATATTAGGTCTTTGCAAACTTAAATGTACATGAAAGACTGACCATGGAAGGCAGGCGCTTAAATTTTTCGTATTCTTAAATAGCCTAATTTTTTTATGTTTTTAATGGGTTCAAACAGACTGAGTAGATTATTTCTCGGTTAGAGCAGGATGAATATTCTTTATTGAAGGAAATAATATTGCTTTTTGCAAATACACATCACCGTATCAACGCTACTATTTTGTTACGTTTTGTTCCAAAAATGTTGCATGTCTCTGGGGAGTTGCTTAATTGTTATGTCTTATGGAGTTGTATGGTTTGATTGTGTTTCATATAATTCTCAGTTTACTCCATGAACTTGCCAAGATTAAGAAACGGCAAAAGAGTTTGGGTGTTCTTAACAAGATTTCAGAACGTTGCAGAAGTTAGAAGAGCTTCACAATTCCGTTGTGACAGCATGCCCTAATTCAGAACTACGAACGATCCAATGACGATCCTTCGCGATGCAGTGGTCTCATGAAATAAGGAAACGTATTCGTGCTAGGAACACACGCGAATTTCGGACGAATGAATCTTGCTTGTATTTTGTAGATATAATAATACTTTGTTTCATAATAAACAATTTGTCAAGTGTCATTTATTTACTGGTAATAGTGCATGTTTCAGTCGGGCAAATCTTGATTAATATTTGATACGCCGATTTTTGCATATTTCAGACACATCCAGAAATATCCTCCCGAATTTAAAGATTAATATCTCCGTGAATTTTTAAGTGAAATACAACTGTAATATATCAAAGTCTAAGTTAGTCCTTCCTCTATTTGATGCAAGTTATTTCTCTTTAAAAGCTATACTTGTTTAGATGTTATTACGAATCAAACAGGAGTACTTTTTTTTGGGCCACCCGGTATAACATGATTTTCACCAACTGGTGAGTCAAAAATATGGTGATCTAGCTCAGTAAAAAGATTGTGTATGGACAATGAAGCCAGAACATATGGACAATGAACAATGAAGCCAGAACAGAAGTGGTCAGAGCATATAAGTGTCTGCTTTCTGAGAACAGAACAGTATGGACAATGCAACCAGAACAAAAGTGGTCAGAACATATAAACATCTGCTTTTTGGGTGACCACTTTTCTTGATGAACATTTTGTATCAACTGTTTTCATAGTACTTCATCCTTAGGGATGTTTATCATGTTAATGCAGGTCTAATTTCAATCAATATAATAGTACACTGTAAAAAAATAAAAATAAATTGCTTACTGATGAAATGTCCTGGGAAGTTTTCTTTTGATTTTTGATTCTGTCACAATTGACCCTTCACTATTACTTCTTATACTTTTTGCATCAGGAATGACTTTACCCATTGCCAGTGGCGTAACGTTATATCAGGGGGCCGCCGGGTCAAAATTTTCGAAGGCCCCCCTAGTAGAAGTGCCAAATGCACGAGTTGAGCGCCGTATATGCACGAGTTTTCTAGGGGGTCCAGGGCATGCTCATCCGGAAAATTTTTGAATCTAGACTCTGAAATGCCATTTCCAGGACTTTGGTGAGATATTTTACAGAATTCTGATGGTCAGAAAACGACATTGTAACATATCAGAGGCCCAGGCCAAGGTTTTTGCTCTATCGCCTAAACCTGGGGCCCCCATTGGGGTTGGGGGCCCCCGGGTTCTCCCGGTCTGAGCCCATAGTAGTTATGCCACTGCCCATTGCTATGAAATTTTCTGAGTTTAATTCAAATTTTTAATTTCAATTGGCACCAAAAGTTCTTCAGGTCTCCAATTTTTTTTAAAATTGGACATTTTTTTTAATGATATTTACAGTAACCACTAAACTCAAAAGGCAAAAATTGAGAGTTTATCATGTTTTCAATTCCTGAGAGTACTGGCAAATTTATTTTATTTTTTTAGAAAAGTTTAATTATTGTGCATCTGATGAGTCAAAGAATTAGAAAACACTATTACACAAAGTCAAAAGTAATACTTTATTATAACAATAGAATTATTTATACAATAGTGAGTGCAACTATATTTAAGATTATAAAATCTACTGTGCATCAAGCATTTTATCCCATTGACCTTACAATATACAATAATGCAAGAAGTAATGTGTCTCATTACAAAATAGGGTTTCCCAAAGCAGTTCTAAAATTCAGCTGATTATCAATGACCTATGCTGTTAATAATTACAGTAATTTGGCAGTTTGATTGCTTGAATTAAAAACAAAAGGTCTAGGACTCAACAGAAAGAAATATTTCTTAACATCAAATATTAAAGATAGTTTGAAGCATTCATACAATTGAAGGTTTTAGAAAGTTTGATTATCAACTACATTTACATAAAGCATTAGAATATCAATTATGTTATATTGCCTGCGAATATACTAAGTTGCAATTATTCTTCTCTAGCTTCTAACACATTTTAATCTTGATGTGATTCCATGGAACTATAAAATAATATATGATATGTTGTATGTATGTAATAAATATACAAATAGTAAGGAGTAAGAACCATTTTTGGTATCAATGTTTTATATATTGACTATTTAAGATTTTATAATTAAAGTCTATTTTTGCCATTGATAAACTGTGACTAAAATATGTTTTTCAGTGTCGCTGTCTTTTACAAAAGAATATGCAAATACATTCACAATTTTGCCATGAAGCAATGGCGATGGCTCAAAATGTTTTATTTGGAATTGGTGGAACTATATTTATATATACATCAACAATGATGGTTTGTCCATAAGGTTTGTCCTATGGGCGCCCTTCATACGGGTCGACAAATATTGATATTTTTGAAAAAAAAAATAAAATTCTGCCTACCCGTTATTCACAATATGAAGCTCCAACGATCTGGCATCATTTACAACAAGTTGCACACTTGAAAAACCAAAATTGACTGCATAAAAGAGGATTTATTGTCAACTTTGTTCATTTCCGCAATACAAAATATACAAATTATTACGCTCCGTGGGAACGACCAATATGGCCGCCGCACGTAAACTGCGACTGCGATCAGGCTTCAATTTTCGCCTGCCTACAGGGTGGGATGCGCTATCTAGTGTATATGAGATATCTATGGTTAAGCCCTTCGAGTTAAGCCCTTTTCGAGTTAAGCCCCTGCCACGCCCTTTTTCGCCGGGGCTTAACTCGATGAACACAAGGTTGTTTTAGTACTTCGAGTTAAGCCCCGGGGCTTATCTCGAACTCGAATAACGATTTAAGCATTCGAGTTAAGCCCCGAGATTTGGCGGATGTAAACAAGTAACACGTGTATTCTCACAAAAATATTCGCAAATAAGGAGGGAGAATGTAAAATTTCAGCAATTTTTTTAGGAAATATCTCTTTTGCTTTGCCTACAGATTTATACATCAATGACAATGACATCGTGAAATAAGAAAACTCAATGTGATTTGTTATAAACAATAGCTCATTCAGGGCGGCAATTACGGCTTTAAAAAATAAATAATATAAAGCGGCACTTGCAGAAAGCAAATCTTGGGCATGTTAATGTTGGCGAGCTACCTTTCTAACCGACTTAACTCGGCAACAACTAGATCTAGAATATTATGTAAACTCGTTTTATTGTTTTCCGGCGACTATTTACACAACACAACCGAGTAACTCAACTTGCCAAAACATAACAGATACAAATATTTCCACTTAGGCCTATATCACACTTGCGTCGGTTTTCTTTGATCGTCCGAGGTTTACAACTAGCTTATAGACCTTGAATAAATGATTGGATTAAACTTGTAGACAAAACGCGAGAATTTTTCATCGGTTTATAACTGATACTCGGTTTATAACTCTTACTAATTACCGACGGCAACTAGAAATAACATTGGACCAATCCCCAATTAACCAAAATTTTGAACTCAACAAGTCTAGACAAAAATTTCATCACAGCTTGAAAGAGCATCACAAAATTAGTAATATTCCAAAGTTTCGTTGCAAAATGTTGTAAAATGCGGATAATATAGCCTTGCGAAGTTTGCAATTTTCAGTTATTTTAGATTACAAACGGGAAATGGTTACCACTTCTGTGCGTAATACAAAATGACTGAAAATTACAAACTTCGCAAGGCTATATTATCCGCATTTTACAACATTTTGCAACGCAACTTTGGAATATTACTAATTTTGTGATGCTCTCTCAAGCTGTGATGAAATTTTTGTTTAGGCTAGTTAAGATCAAAATTTTGGAAAAGTGGTAACCATTTCCCGTTTGTAATCTAAAATGACTGAAAATTGCAAACTTCGCAAGGCTATATTATCCGCATTTTACAACATTTTGCAACGAAACTTTGGAATATTACTAATTTTGTGATGCTCTTTCAAGCTGTGATGAAATTTTGTCTAGACTTGTTGAGTTCAAAATTTTGGTTAATTGGGGATTGGTCCACTGTTATTTCTAGTTGCCGTCGGTAATTAGTGGAAATATTTGTATCTGTTATGTTTTGGCAAGTTGAGTTACTCGGTTGTGTTGTGTAAATAGTCGCCAGAAAACAATAAAACGAGTTCACATAATATTCTAGATCTAGTTGTTGCCGAGTTAAGTCGGTTAGAAAGGTAGCTCGCCAACATTAACATGCCCAAGATTTCCTTTCTGCAAGTGCCGCTTTACTAGTATTATTTATTTTTTAAAGCCGTAATTGCCACCCTGAATGAGCTATTGTTTATAACAAATCACATTGAGTTTTCTTATTTCACGATGTCATTGTCATTGATGTATAAATCTGTAGGCAAAGCAAAAGAAATATTTCCTAAAAAAATTGCTGAAATTTTACATTCGCCCTCTTTATTTGCGAATATTTTTGTGAGAATACACGTGTTACTTGTTTACATCCGCCAAATGTCGGGGCTTAACTCGAATGCTTAAATCGTTAATCGAGTTCGAGTTAAGCCCAGGGGCTTAACTCGAAGTACTAAAACAACCTTGTGTTCATCGAGTTAAGCCCCCGGCGAAAAAGGGCGTGGCAGGGGCTTAACTCGAAAAGGGCTTAACTCGAAGGGCTTAACTCGAAGGGCTTAACTCGAAAAATACCTACCCCAAAAATTTTACATTTTCTTGCTGTAGTACAATTTAATAGAGGATAATCACTGATCACCCATTTTCTCGGTGTTGGGCAAGTTTTTTGCTTGGTAACTTTTTGTGGTAATTAAGCATCTATGGTTCTATGAATTGAACCACAGAAAATCTATTTCCCAGGAGGGTGCCACGAAATTGTTTTTCTAGGCACTTTTTCGCACAACAGCCCACGGCCTAATAAGTAATATTCTAATTTCAGATTATGACGATATTTAATACCAGTAATTTTCATGTTTTTTATTTTAAATTAGTCCAAAGGCTGAGGAACTTAATTTCTGACATTAATCACATGTATACAGCATTGCTGTAATGAGTGTAAATGATAACTGCACGTGTAGTAAAAGTAAAACTTAAAGAGTATTGAATTTGATGTTACGAACTGCTAAAAGATGCTTTAAGTTTGAAGCTTCCCTGAATATATTTTATAAACCAGTTTTGACATATAGTCTAAAATAACATGCCATACTACAGGTTTAAATGTTGGAACAGTCCATTACATGTTATCAATGTTCAGAGTAAAATTAATACAGTTAAATAGTGTATCGATAGTCATCTACGCATGCGCTTTATCTGTTTCTTCGAAGATGCCACCTCAGTCTTTAGTTGTTCCAAAGCAGTCTTGTATTTTTCCATCAAACATTCAAGATCACTGTCTTTTATTGAGTGTTTACATATTCTATCTTTCTTCAGCGACTTCAACATTTTCTTGAAATGAAATACCTCATTATCGTGTAAAAGAGTGATCGCACTTCCTATAAAAAGAGAAAAAATCCTTAATCTAATCTAAACCATAGCCTATCGAAGGGATATAAAAACTGTGAAACTCATTAGAATAACAATATAAGTCATCACGGAGTTTACGCATGTAAGACGGCAACGTCAGGACGACGTCTATCAATACAATGTCATTAATCCTATAGCACAAAAGAAATGAATAATTAAACGCATAGCTGGAGTTTCAGACGCTCTCCAGGCTCTGTTGACGACGGCAAAATGCATATTTTCACGTCTTGTAAAGAACACCAGCATTTAAAGTGCGACTGTGACCAAATTTTCATTTCTGTTTTTTTTCCATGATTGTGAAGAATGCCTATAAAGAAGCTGTCACGCAAAATTTTAGCGTGATATCTCATATTTGACCTGAGTTATACGACGATGAAGTTCGAATTTTGGCGGCCGCCATTAAAATCCGCCATATTGGAAAGTTCAAGTGTTCGGGAGTCTTTGACGTCATAGTCTCAACACATGCTGGGTATGCAACATAAAAATATATACGCGACTATAGTAAAACTCGATCATGCCTTCATCGCGTTGTGTTGCATACAAGATTGCAGCAATACTTCTGACAAAAACGCGGGTAGATCATTGCATAAGAGCCCAAATGACGAATCTTTGAGAAGAATATCGGTTAGATTTGTGCAAACTAAGCACGCCAATTTTTATCCAAGCTCGCGGGAAATTCGATTCATGATTTGTTATTTTGTTCGGACCGTTTTTCAACTGATTGTTTTGAGCGTTTATTTCATTTGGATGGTTTGCAACAACGACTAAAACCAGGTTCTGTACCTACTATTTGGAGGAAAGCGCCTGCGCAATTAACAACAAGAGACAGGCGTAAGGTTTAGTCAAATATGAATATATTTTAGCTACATACATATTTACATAATCTGATAAGTGACATAAGTCCAGATCAATTATAAATTCACGCGACAAATGTTGTTCTCATATTATTGAAAATAGGTTTTAAATTTTAAACGAGTTGGGCGAAACTGCAAACAAGACTGATACAAACAAGGATGAACCATCGAGCTGTTTTTTAAACTCCGTGTAAGCTCGCTGATCAGTGTGGGAATGTTGATCATATTTTATTGTAACAACAACACAGTAATGTGAGATGCCTTGAACTGCCCGTAAAATCTCATACCAAACCACGAGCTGTCTGTAGGAAACTGCGCGCAAGAACCTATAAAATATATAATATTAAATAAATGTGCGCACACAATATGTTAATTAATGCTTGTTTAATAACATCGGCATACTTCAGGGTTAACAGCAATGACCACATTTACACCTTATAAAAAATGCAAAATAGAAGTTCAGAGATGCGTTTTATAGTTTATTACTCCGCCAAATAAGAACACAGACTTACCAAGACGATACATCAACATGGCCTTCAAAACGATTTTGTAACATATTTTCGTCCTCTGCTACAACTTCGTCGACCTCGTACTGGGCTACCTCCAACCTCTTCAGGCGAGGCAAGCGGCTCCAGCAATAGTATCATCAAATGGGCGAAAATTCATTGTCAGGTTCGCTTGAATTCGCTGTTATATAAACAGATGAGATGCAGGAGAATCTGTTTCAGACAAATACTGCGAAACGCCACTAGATCGCGACGAAACTGACATTTTAGTTCTTGAAATATATGCGATGCTCTACGTTTGCTTACTAATTCTACTTATGCCCTTGCGGTGTGTTGAGACTATGACGTCAGAAGCCTCTCGTGACAACATAAAATCAAGATGGCGGATTTTAATGGCGGACAGCGATTTTGGACATTTCAAATGCTCGTAACTCCGTGGTCGTTAATCATGTTCGCCTGAAATTTTATACAAGCATTTTTGGTGCAATAATAAAGTCGTTGCTAGCAAAAAAGGGAATTTTCTCGATGATGAATTTTCGTCACAGTAGCACTTTAAAGGCGTGGCAGCAATTTTTATAGCAGAGTTGATCAAAATTCCTCTGAAGGTTAAAGCTCTGTTTTACTCGTTCTAAACTGTATTAAATTCATACGAAAGTAAATACAAGACAATATTTCCATACAATCATTTATTTCAAACAGTTTTTTATAGCCGTCGTCCTGACGCCGCCGTCTTACATGCGTAAACTCCCTATTATCTATTTTAGTCAACGTTTATCCATAAATCTGGTCCTTTACTGTCACGTGTGTATTGTATTTTTGCCCAACTAACCAATAGCAATGTTTTAGATGGATAGAGTAGATAGATAGATAGATAGTATAATAGGAAAGTTACCTATCCGTCACTCGAACAATAGGGAAATTGGAAATTGCTATTGGTGGATTTGCCGGCAAAAATACAATACACACGTGACGGTGAAGGAACAGATTTATGAATAAACGTTGACTAACATAGATAATGAGTTATAATATTATGTAGTATTTAAAACACGAGTTTGAGTGTTTTGAATACCTTAAAATACGACCACAAGAGAATACTAATTGATTAGGATGAACAATTATATAATCACACTAATTAGGATGAACAATTATATAAAGAATACTAATGAAGATGAGTTTTATCAGATATAATGTCACTCCACGTGACATGTTATGGCTGACATGATTTGCCACAAGGTTTATGAATTTTTAATGAGTATTTTAAATATATATATATGATTTCGTTTGTTCATACTCCTAGGAAGTATTGAGAATAGTCATGTTTAATGTTATTGTTGTTCTGTCTAGAGTTTAGGAGGACCAGATTGGAAAAAACTTGTAACTTTATCGTTTATCCTCAATAAATAAAGTGTTATTATTATTATTATTATTCTAATGAGTTTCACAGCCATCCTCCCTTCGATAGGCTGTGTCTAAACGTAAGTTAGATTTCCTTCTTAAAAGCTACTGTAGTATCTTGGCAACTCGGGAAACAGTTTCCGAGCCATGTTTCCTGAAGGTGGGCAAATGGGGAAACAAATATCACTCTTGAGAAACGAAATATGATTCTGAAATTGTGGGGAAACACTCTTTGTTTCCGCCCAGCGAATTTTGTTTCTGTAACAATGTTTCGAAAGTTGGCCACAAATGGGGAACATTCGACGAAATTTTCAAATGTTTCCCCAACAATGTGTCGCAAGTTGCCCAGTTGTTGTTCATTGTTGTGAGTTTGTTGTTGTTGTTGTTGTTGTTGTTGTTGCAATTGCTGTCGTTGTTCGGTTGCGTTCTGTAATGCTTTTCGTCTGTAACGTCGTGCATTTCTTCTGGGGTTTTGCTGATGTGACCGGAAAATACAAAATTTACCAAAAACCTGAATTCCAGCCCTCCACAGTACGCTCAAGCAGAAATAGCATCTCATGAAAATGAACTCACAATTGAAGAATCTGTACAGTGAGTTGTATGCGCTGTCGATGCGTTATAGTTTTATTGTTCGCTTTAGTCAATGCGATGGAAGTGCTCTCAGGGACCTGTAAGTTGTTTCATGCCAGGATATCGCATCTAAATCACCCTAGTGAACCTACCGGTTTTCCCAGCCCTGGCTGTTCTGCCAACACGATGAACGTAGGTCTTCGATGACACGGGCGGATCATAACTTATGACATATTTTACCGCAGGGACATCTAAACCACGTGCCATTGCATCAGAACAAATAATGATTTGTGTTTTCCCACATTTGAAATCATTGAGTATTGTCTGCCTCCTCGCGGCAGTCAGATTGGAAGAAAACTCTTGCACTCCAATCCCACCAAAATGTTTTACCAAGAGGTACAGTCTAAATTACATGAAATCAAATTAGCGGTTTTCGTGGCCGATTTAAGCATGGTTAGATCATTCAATCAATGGTACATTTTCTTCATTTCGAAGTTTGAGGACTAACAGAAATTCGTTGTAGTAATAAAAAGAATTGGAGGCATGCAATCAAAATATTTAGTAAAGTGTCCGCCACTGAGGTGGATCATAGCCACCAGAAAGACGATAAGAAATGTATATTCGTTGTTGGAAAAGCACGTACTTATGGACGTACGGATAGAAATTTAATTATGTTAATGTACCTAATTTGAATAATGCATTATTGGGAATTGAATGGGATCAACCTGAATTGAGAATGAGGTATAGCATAACATTGATATAGCATAAGATAATTGATACAATCAATTAATAAACACAGTAGAAAGTTTAGAAAAGGGTGAAGTACTTGTAAACGTTTTTGTTGCAGTAATGAAGTCAATACAGGCTTTCGGAAAGTATGCCAACTTGGCTATAGAGCCTCGATTTCAAACTTGAGACGTTCAGCTTTAACTAATGTCACATACACGAAAACAAAACCTTATAGCCAAAATGACGTGCTTTCCGGAAGGGTGTATTATATTCTTAGACTAGTTTTGGTCGAACGCGATGTTACAGTTACTGATCCCATTGAAAATCCTATAAAATATTTAATGTTGGGCATGATGGAATGGGGAATAAAATAATTAAACCATATTGATTGTAAATATTTGTCGTCTGAGTCCCCCAGATGAGCACTTGTACTTTTAGAACAAACACTTAAATATGTACTTGGGGCTTCTTGTCTAGCGTATACGTCCAAGTTCTGTTTTTATTTTTCAGCTATCATCTCCTCCTCCTCCTCCTAATAATACTAATAATAATAATAATGGAAACACATTTTATTTCTTGCAAATATTACAAGTAACCAGCTCTCACAAAAGTACTAGGCAACCTGGCTACATTATGGTACAAAGAAGAGAATACAATATTAAACTAAGCTTAAAATATTTACAAATCATCAAAATGTTATAAAAATACTACAGAAATGCTATTACAATACTTATTTAAAATACCTTCGTAAGGTAACAACGTGGACAGTGTCAAATAAGATACTATACATACACATGAGAGCATGAATTCTACCAATATAAGAGTTCAGGGCAAGTCCATTGTCTGTTTCTGGAGCAAAATATATAATAATAATAATAATAATGGAAACTTTATTTATTTCATAATATACCATAAAACTATATTTACATTGATAAACCTCGCTCATAAAGGTAGTTTATCGATGACTACTTGAAAAATATTTGGATTATATAAATTTACAAAAATAAGGAATTTAATATAATATAACAACTTTATTTGAAAATTATTTCTATATAAATACATAAAAATATACAATCGTTCAAAATTTTAAAAGCTTTGGGCTAGTCCAGTCTTTGTTTCGTTGACAGAATACATAATATGATGCGCGAATACAAGTAGCAATGATAACAATAATAATAATAATAATGGACACATCAAATTTTATTACATAACTATACTAAGATACAACCTTAGTCTCTGGAACACAGGCAGAAGGCTGCAATTATGGTACAAGCTGGAAGAAAGCTAAAAATATTAAAATGTAAAAGATATTTAGATATGTTACAATAATTGAAAAATACTACCATGTTAATAAGTTAGGTTCCGTCCAGTCCTTGTCTTTGCGGCAGATTATATAATAAGTTGATCTAATACAACATGCACCCATTTTAGCAATTAGATGATTAGTTTTTTGATTATCTAATAACAAGTCGTTAGATATAAAGTCCATGAATGAACGACTGCTCTTTCCCAGAATTCCCAAAGCTCCAACCGAGATGTTGACAAACTTTACTATGTTATACTGATTTCTTTGTTCAGAACATAGACCACTATAATGATTGTGTTAATACGTACAGCATTGTCTTTAATTCTGGTCTCAAAACCGACAGTTAATTCTAAAACAAATACCCAACTCCGTTGTTTGTAATACAATAATAATAATAATAATAATATTTATTAGCGATTCCAAATTGAATTCTATCACTAAATTAACTAATCTACATTAACAAGTACTATATTTACAATGAGCAGATATGAAGAGTTAATAAATCTATACAGTACATTCACACAGTCACAATACATATTTCACAAAATAGATGTAACAAAAACATAGTCATTTATACCCCGGCCCGAGCCTCTCGTGGGCTATGTCTATGAGATAGACTTTCACACTTGTTCTAAAAATGTTGAAATCTTTGCAATTCGCCACCAATCTGGCAGATAGTTAAATGCAGCTGCAGCACTGTCCTGAAATGTTCCGCTTTCGGTTGGCACTTCAAGTTGGATCTGTGATGATGATCGTAGAGTTCGTCCTGGTACATACTGATCTACCTTAATGTATTAAGGCCAATTATTAAAGTACAAAGCTTTAAATGCAGATAGATGCAATTGGAACTGTCTTTGCTCAGTTACTGGGAGCCACCCCAATTGTAAGGAACCTGCTCCTCTTGCGTAACGTGCTAACACGAAACTTGCGCATAGTTGCTTCTGTTGGTATAGTTATAGAGGGTGAAACACAACACACGAGTAGTCCATTTTCGATAGGATTAGACTTTCTCCTAGCTGTTTCCGAACGTGGAATGGCGCTAAGTTGCGTAACTTCCTCAGCACAGACAAAACTCCATAACACGAAGAGAGGAATGCCTTAACGTGTTCGATCCAAGAGAAATGTTCGTCCACATTAACCCCAAGAAGTTTTATGCTTCGCACCCGTTCCAAGGTTTCTTCGTTACATGTCAGTTGAACAGGAGCATCTTATAATCCGCGAAGTCTTGACATTTGCCTGGTTGACAACAGTAACCACTTTGTTTTCTTCCCATTCAAGGCCAAATTGGATTCATTAGAGTATTGCACGAGTTTGGAAATGGTGTTGTTTATTTGGGTGGCACAGTGTTCTAAATCAGCCACCTTGGTGTGTTGATAGAATGTGGTATCATCTGCATACTGATAACACGGACACTTTAGCTTTTCGTGAAGGTCGGCAACGTACAAATTGAACAGAATTGGACCTAGGATAGAGCCTTGAGGTACCCCACACTCTACAGTGGCTAACTCAGAAGATGCATCGTCGATTTGAACAAATTGTTGTCGCTCGCAAAGATAGTTCAATTCCAATCGAAGGAATTTTTTTGAAAATCCCATCCCATGCATTTTCGTTAACACTGCTTTGAACTGAACCATATCAAACGCCTTAGAATAGTCAGCGCAAACCATCATTGTAACTTCTCCTCGTTTCATTGCTTTTATACGTCATGTCTAATTCTTAACAGAACCGTTGTGGTAGAATGACCCCTATGATATCCCGAAATGCCCGATGCTAATAATCCTTGCTCATCGATGTACGTTACAAGTTGATCGTTCACCAAGCGTTCAAAGATCTTTGATAGGGCAGGTAATATCGATATCGGACGAAAGTCTTTCTCACACGTGGGATTGTTGACCTTGGGGATGGGAGATACCCGAGGCGTTTTCCAAGTTCTGGGGAATATCGAGGAATCGATGCAGGTGTTGATTATGTAGGTGAGAGGACCAGCGAGGTCATTACTTACGAGCTTTATAAACTTTACGGGGATCTGATCGAAGCCCGTTGAAGTGTCTGAACGTAGCCGAGAAATTTCTTTAACAAGTGTAAAGCCTGAGTGTTCAGTCTGTTCGGGTAGTGACTGTAGTTAAAAGATCCTGCACATCGTCTGGTTCGGTGCCCAGAGTTCTTGTAGCTGTAGAAATTATGAAATATTTGTTCAATTTCTCGGGATCTTCGTGGAGTGGCTTGGGATTAGGATGAAGAATACGATGTATTACTTTCCACACTTGTTTCGGACACTTCGATGAAAGGGCTTTGGCTAAAAACGACCTTCTTGCTTTACCGGTAACCGTTTTGATTTTGTTCCGTATTGCTCTAATGATATCCAGGTTTCCGTACTACCGTCTTTTTGAACTTCTCGTCTTAGCCTGTCTCGCTCAGTTTGTAAGTGACGAATCTCATCTGTCTGCAACCACGGCGCTGGAGGACGTGTAACCTTGACTTTCCTAAGAGGGGCATGACGATCTATACATTCCTTGATGTCGATGAAGGAGTTCATCACGTCGACCACATCATCAGAAGACTCTAGTTCATATACAATGTTCAATGGCAGGGAAGAGAAGTCTTGATTGAAGGCGTTTGCGTTGAAATACCTTTTGTTGTGTATGTAATTGAAGCGAGGCTGGAATCTGGGGAAACGTATGTTGACACACACGTGTACTACTATAGCTTCATCTTTATGGTCTAAAACGAAACTTATATATATATATATATATATACATTACTTGCCTGTGTGTTGATTCAACTGATGATGTAAAACAAAGAACTCCATCCAAGCCTTGCACAGTAAGTAGATGTAACAAAACCAGAGGTTTGCCTCCACTGTTGCAAATGTACATTGACTCTTCTAAAGTTGCAGGTGTTTCCAACAGCATCTCAAACTCTTCGTTTGCTTCGTTACCTAATTCTAAAACAAGAGAAGTGGGGGGAAGGATGAGGTTGACGTTTGCATCTTTGTCTTTAGGCATTCTATATTTGAATATTGAAAGAAGAATAAATACGTAAACATCACATGATCAGGAATGGGAATTTACATACGAAGCTGAGACGTTCTGTTAAAAACGGCAAATTCTTTCAATAGTTTATATCTGTCACATCTGAATTGCTGGGGTTTGCTGGAATAGTAGGGGTTTATAGAACTCTATTTTTACAAGGACAAAAAGATGAGAAAACTTATTGGTGTTTTCAAAACTAGTACTTGGGTATTTAGAGAAAAACAAGAAAATGTAGGCCTGTATGTGTGAAAGCTTGTTTGAACATCAATCTTGTTATGCAAAGTGTCCCAATTCCCCAATTTTTTCTAACATTAGATCGTTAGCTTTAATAGAAGTTTAAGATTTTTACACTGGATGAAATAACTACTATATTACTTTATTTATCACTTATCACCAGTATAAAACTCCGAAACTTCTATTAAGACGTACGTAGTGATATCATAAAACATATCGGGAGAAGGAAGGGGGCATTTATAGGACACCGGACACCCTGTACAAATATTGCACCAATGCATACTCAGACTTTAAGAAGAGATGGACTGATGGAGTATTTTGGAATACATACATTATTATTCAGCTCACTCCCTATTGGGGCTTTTCAGTGACCAATTACATCACGTATTAAGCTTACTTACATTACCTACTTAGCGTACACGCAAAAAACGCCGAGTCCGTTGCTTCACAAGATTGAACAATGTTTTGCTGCCCACGTTGTTCACACTAGTCAACAATATTGAACAATATTGTTGAGCCTGAATGGGGTGTAACAATATTGTTCAATATTGTTGACAAGTGTGAACAACGTTAACCTGCGATCAGGCCTAAAAATAAATAAATAGGCCTGATACAAACCTTAACAAAAGTCCATGTTTTTACAACCGTATTTCGGTTGTAAATCTGATTGGTTTATTTGTATTGTATTTGTATTTCAAAATCTTTACAGAGGATAAACATTTCAGTAATCTACTGTTATCAATATGTGTCCTCTATTTAACTAAATAGTCCATACTAAATAATCTATAATCTATATTAATAATATATACTATAATTTAATCATTGGTAATGATTTTATAGCAGTTTCCGAAATATTTTGCTATCCTTTTCAGCTCGAATTTCGCAAGGCAAGTCATTATAAATTCTTGCCGCTGCAAAGCGAAAAGCATGTCTACCAAATTCAAGCTTTACTTTTGGTAGCTTTATCATATTATTTCTGTTTCTCGTATTATGACTATGGTTATAAATTTCAAAATAATTATAGAAGTTACTGCAAATATCTTTTTCCAAGCATTTTCGTAAAACATCACACGCTTTCTTTCTTATCAATTTATCCAGATCAGGCAAGTATATTTCTTCACCAATAATTGCTCGTGCTCGGTTTTCAATGGACGTAAGCTTTCGTCGCTTCGTCTCAGTTAGAAATAATTTGACCATCCCACTATACGTAATTATTGGTACAATCATCATTTGATATATCTTCGTCGCCACACTTGGTGTCACATAGTTACGGATCCTTGATAATAGTCGTACTCGGTTACTAGCTTTTTTATAGGCTGCCTCAAAGTTTTCATTAAGTGTCAGACCAGGATCAAGTACGTAACCAAGATATTTGTAGGACTGTGTTGTATTTATAGGTTGCCCTCTATATCCAACTCTCAATTGACGAGGTTGTGCAGATAATCTTTTTCCAGTACCAAAAACCATCATTTCAGTTTTCCCTTTCTTTAGATTTATTAACAATTCATTTGCATCAAAATACTCTGCAATTACATCCATATCGCTTGACAGTGTTTTCTCTATCATTTCTATATTTTTTCCAGAGCAATATAGATAACAGTATCGTCAGCATACTTTATAATACGTGAGTTTATCCCTATGTCAACAAGATCGTTATAAAACACTAGGAATAACAAAGGTCCCAGCACTGACCCCTGAGGAACTCCAATAAAAACAGGTTGGTTTGACGATTTATTGCCTCCAAGTTGAACATATTGTTGTCGTCCGAACAAATAGTCTGTAAACCATGTCAATTCTCTATTTCGAACACCATATGCCTGTAACTTTGTAAGAAGGGCATCGTGGTTAATAGTATCAAAGGCCTTGCTGAGATCTATAAAAATGGCCCCAACAAGGTTCCCCTGATCAACTTCGTTTCTTATGTCATCGATAAATTGAATTGCAGCTAGACTTGTTGATCTCTTCATCCGATACCCGTATTGACAATCAGTTAATAATTTTTCTTCCTCTAAAAATCTAAGAAATTGCCCATGAACAGCTCTTTCCAATAGTTTTGACAAAACTGGCAACACCGATATAGGTCGAAAGTTCTCAGGAAGTTCATATGGTCCAGATTTGTATATTGGAATTATCTTTGCCACTTTCCACATAGTTGGTACTGTGGATGTTTCAATCGATAAATTTAGAATATGATACAATGGATATGAAATAAACTCGCGAATATCCTTCAACATGCCTGCCGGCAGCTCATCAACCCCAGTGGACTTGCCTTTTTGAAATTTTTCAGCTCATTAAGGACAAAACCTGTTGATATATGCTTAATTTGGAATATTTTCTGTGTTCGTGTCGCTATTTTAACTGGCTGTTTCCATGCAAAATTCCTTAACGGCATTGATTTTTCCTTTAGCAGTTGAATAGCATTAGCAAAGTATGTACTAAAGATATTTACCCTGTGTTTGTTCTTGTCATTTTTTGAGTTCACTGACATCGATATCGATTTAGGTTTCGTGGGAAAGATATTTTTAATTATATTCCAAAACTTTTTAGGACTTGATGCTGTTTCCAACAAGTCGTTATGATTTGTACTCTTCGCAAACCGCATTTTGTTATTGCAAGCGTTTCGTAATTTCTTATATAAATTCCAATGTTCTACCTTTTTTGTTCTACGCGCTTTTCTTAGCGTACAATTTCTTGATGACATTGTTTTTCTGATATCAGAATTAATCCATGGACAAGGTTTTCCTCTTACTTTCTTAACCATTTGAGGCGCATGACGGTCAAAGATAGCTTTAACAGTATAGTTAAAAAGTACTCTAATGCCTTGTTAACATCGTTCATAGTATTTTATGACTGCCAATTGACTCTCCTAAAATCTTCTTTCATTACTTCAGGCTCATAAGCCGAGTAATTACGACATGTTATAACCTTTGGAGTAAATTTGACATTGTTTAATTTACGTATATGCAACCAACCATTTCGTGATCACTCAGGTCAACCATAAAAACTCCACTCCTAGACAATACTAATGGTTATTTGTTAGTATAATATCAATTAGCGTTGATGTATCTTTAGAAATACGGGTTGCTTGTTTAATAATTTGACTGAAACCATAAAGTCTGATTAATTCTTTAAAATCTTTATGTTCACTCGCTTTTAGAAAGTTAATGTTGAAATCTCCTAAGATTATGATTTCTTTTGACTCGTTTGCACTTTCTCTAAGTGTATCATTAAAAGTTTCATCAAAATTCGCTGGAAAATAGCGTGAACTCTCCGGTGGCCTATAATACACCGCTACTAACAAACTTTTCGAATTCTTAATGAATACTTCAATCCACATGCTTTAGACGCTATCATTCTCAAGATCTTGCCTTCTTCTCCACTCAATACATTCCTTAATATATATAGCTACACCCCCACCTTTTCCAACTTTCCGATTACTCTTCACCAACATATATCCAAATTTTGTACAGGTCTTCATTATCATCAAACTGTCCATTAACTATATGCGTTTCCGAAAGCGTTAAAATGTCGATATTCTCATGCCGGTCAAACAAAAGACAAAAGATTTTTTAATCTGTCATTTGATTGGTTGGTGCTAATTAGATTATACTATTGTCGTTGATATATTTATAGTGATCACAACTATAATTAGATTGTTGTTGTCGTTGTGTGAAATTTAAATTTCTCCTGCAACATTTTGATTGGATACTAAATATAAACTTTGCTGTGGGTGGAAAGCGATCGGATTAAGGATTGTGTCAGGCTATTTATCATTTATAGACCTGGAGCGAGGGGGATTCGGCGAAATATTACCCGAAGTGATTTTTCCCGAGGGGCTTTGCCCCGAGGGAAATATCATCACTGAGGGTAATATTTCGCCGAATCATCCGAGCGGAGGGTCTATAAATGATTATTATACCGAAAATTAAAAGCCTCCAAGTTGAGAATTAAAAACGTGACACATACCTTCGTGAATAGGATGTTTTATTTTCGGATTAACGCAAGTATCGTCGCTTTTCTTTCGAATCACAGATCGTTTGGAATATTAATGACAACATTTTTCAAAATTTGCTTCAAAATTATGAAAAAGCTCCAGGTTTTACGTTTAAAATTTGATTATTCATCACTCGTCAATACTATTTATATTTTGTCGGCCATGTTGTTGTCTCGTGTGGTGCACGCGAATAATGTTCCACCCCATGTTCCCCGGGGAACATGGGGTGGAACATTGTCAAAAGGAACGCAGGCTCGCTAATTGATGACGTAAGACGTGATATCGCGATTAATTTCATGCTCACGTGGCACAAACTAAGCTTCCTGATTGGACAATTTGAATTTGAGGTATAATATTATTTGTAAAATAGAGCCTGATCTCAGGTTAGAACAACGTGGGCAGCAAAACATTGTTCAATCCTGTTTTGAACAGTATTGCAACAACCTGAGCGTTTTTACGCGTCTATTTATTTTTACCACAATTGTGATTACTTTCTTAACTGTGTTTATCCTAACCCACCCTGTCAACTTTCCCTTGGGGAGGAAACCGGAGCGGCCGGAGAAAACCCACGACTTTCGACAGAGCGTTGACAGACTCTTTTCACATGAGTCCGTAGCGAGATTCGAACCCACGATCTCAGAGGTGAAAGGTGCTTGCTCTGACGACTGCGCCACCTGAATGTACTATAAGAGGGAAGCAAAGACGGCGCAAGTGGTAAAAGTGTTACCTATTAGGACTGAGTTAAACACATTAAAGCTATGTGTATAGCTTTACAGGTCACTAGGCTGGGGAACATTGAGGCAGGCTGTACTCTTATACGCTTTATCTGATGTAAATAGAATAGTCCTAATAAATTCGCAAGGGTGGGTTGACTACAAAATTTTTGTAGTTCGCTATAACTACAGCTACTTCAAAAATATGTAGTCAGCTACAACTACTGCTACTTTTGAACAAAAGTAGTTCGCTACTGACTACAGCTACTGCTTCAAAAATGTAGCGAACTATTTCGCTATTTCGCTACACTATATTTTTTAGTTTTACTATATTTGGAGCACCTACTAACTCAGGCTGTAATGTAACCTATAATAAATCGACTTACGAGTAGCAACAGTAAACACAAAGCAACATTTTTGTAAGCACTACAGTGTTCAGGAGTGCAAATTGACTATTGAGTATTGATTTTAAGCAAACCGTGTCTCAATATCATGCTATTCTATCAAGTTGCTAACAATTTTAAAAAGTAGCGAATAGCGATTCGCTGTTTTAAAAGTAGTCAACTACTTGGCTACTTTTAGGCAAAATGTAGTTCGCTATAACTACAGCTACTGTTTTAAAAAAGTAGTAAAAAACTACTGGCTACTTGAAAATTGTAGTTCGCTACAGTAGCGAACTACAACTACTTCGCTACAGCCCACCCTTGTAAATTCGTATGATCTGTTACGGTCAATTCACTTGACACATGAGTGTAGCTGCTTGTGCTGCAGCGCATTACATTAATCGCCAATGCTACACTAATATCCAATTAGGGTAAATTGTTGACTGCCACCCGTTTCTCAAGACTCAAGAATAGGTAACAGCGGTAAGTTGTTCTCACCTTCTGTACCACGTGTATCATTTTTAGACTTCGACACTGTGAAGAACCTGGGCTTGTACAATTGAAGAAGAGCAAGTTTCTCAGGATTCTGTGTAAGGGTTGCTGAGAACAATAACTTCTGAAGAGGTCGCTGAATTTTTCCAGTCTTCAAAGGTGTTAATGTATTTAAAGGTGATCTGTAGGAAGAAACAGTATGAGTTATTACCAATTAGGATCTATATTGTACAACAAGGGTCGAAAAACAAACAACTTTGGATTCGTCAGGCCATATAAATGTTTGAATACTAAAATAATGATTTCTGGAAAGGGATAATCGTATTTGCAACAAACACCCATTTTGTATTCCCGTGAATCTTGTTGACTCTAAATACAAATTAACATGAAATGTTTTAGCTTTTATTTTGTAAACGCGATGGCATGTCCATTATTTATTTATTTGAACGAGAATAGAATATTACCTTAACGAAATAAAATCTTTATCATATTTCACCACCAAGCCATAATAATAATTACAATTCAAAATTAGATACATTATGTAACTGAACACACAAATTAAACTGAATATATAGATGACAATTTAGCCAAGAATCCATGCATATATTTATATGTCTTTATCACGCAGTTTCCATATTTAATTGAACATATTTCGCAATGTGATTTAAATTTCTGTTTATTTTTATCACGTTATTGCGTTTGTATTCACTAGTATAAAAGCACATGCAATGCATGTGTTTTTCCCATTCGTTCGAAGTTCTTTTTAATTTTTATATTTTAGTAGTTCAGACGATCGCCGTTTGTAAACTATAGCCAAGAACCTCTCCAGTTCAGATCTTTTCCAGTAGGAAAAATTTAGGTCTAAACCTTTCACTCTACGAAATATTATTCCACGAGAAATGAAGCCCTTCGGCCTCGCTGCTCCGCGCGCGGTCCTGTATTTGTCCCATTCTATGATAAAAGGTAAACATTTTATGATACTATTGGAGATATTTGCATAAATACTGAGTTTATCAAGCTTTCACTATTTTTGTTCTCGAATATCCTTATTCTTCATCTTCTTCTACGTTTTTTATCTAACGACTTTTTTTAAGTGAATCGACATTCCTTGGGCATGACCTCTTTCGCTACTGTATGTGACAATTAGCCGTGCCGAAAAAGGTAAAACGACAGTTGTGGGAAAGACGCTTATAGTTATATATACATACTGTACTGTAGCCTGGTCTGGTAATTAATTTAAGCTTGGCAGCGCGACTGCAACCCTGGTTTCCAATACCAACCTGTGCGCTTCTTGACTTTCAGTAGATGAAAAGACTGATCCATAAACTTTGTCAAGCCAACCAAAATAAGGTTCTGCTAGGAGTCTGTCAGCTTCATCAATGATGAGGAATCTAAGGAACTGCAATGAAAAACCATCTGTACTGGATATATGTTCAACCAGCCTTCCTGGAGTGGCCACCAATATGTTCACATTACTTGAGTACCCAAGAAAACTAAATTTGAATAGATTAATTAAACAACTTAGTGTTTAGTATAATAAATAAAAGAACTATAGAAGGTGTTCCATGAAATGTAATACTGTAATTTTGAATAAATTATTGTGACTTCATCCAAATAATTTTATCAGCAGTTTCATGCAAAGAGATCGAAAAATAAGCAATCGATGCATGGCATTTATATAAACATTTATTCACATTTTTGGTAAATCAATACACAGGCTGTATCAAAAAGGTTTTAGCTTTCAAATGACACCTTTTTGTATCATTTCAACAAAAGTAATACATCAGAAACATTTTTGCATCGAAAATTTAGTACATGTAGTTTGAAGCAATGAGAGAGTGGTAAAATTTACAATGAACATCAAGTGTCAAGAAAATATTATTTCGATTTTGTAAATCGAAGTCCAATGTTCGTTGATATTTAAGTCCAGCCAATCAGAACCACTACGTTCAGTCGTGACCAATCAGGATCAACTATCCAAATCCTGATATTTACCCTATGCTACCATGCACTTATTCCACAACTATTTCGAGTAGTCAACAAGTATATCCATCTGGAATTTTTGAACACCTTCACGGATCTACAAAAACCTGAACACAATCTCGATTCTCGTCATACCGTACCTATTTGAACCAAGTTGCTGCTGCTCTTTTTGTAAACTTTTAAGCCCATTAGCAAGCCCAACACTTAGCCCAGTTCCTTGAACATACATGTTAAAAACATGCCACACTTGAGTTGCCAAATCCTTGGTTGGTACAATCACTAACGCTTCAATTGTTCGTACAGTGTTGTGCTTCAGTAGTTCAATCACCGGTAGCACATACGCCAAAGTTTTTCCGCTTCCTGTTGGGGCACACACACAAATATCTTGTGGCAGAAAACCACCTTTTCCAAAGGGACTGTTTCTCTCCCAAGACGATAGCATTGCAGGGATAACTGACTCTTGGACTGGAAAGAAATGCTCAACTCCCTGCTTTTCAAGCTTCTGAACTAAGCCAGAGTGAAGACCCTCAATTTCAGTGATTGCTAGTAGATTTTTATTCACATCACTAGAGAAAAAAGATGGATTGGCAAGCCACTTGGGCAATGCTCTCCGAACAGCGTTTGGTTTCTGTTTTTTGTTCTCCCCACCAATGACTGTCATTTCCATTTGATGCTCCAAGGTCTCTTTATTTAGTGTCTGTTTTGAAGTCTTACCACTCGGTTCTTCTTGCTTAGTGTTCTCCGAATGTTTTCGATCTTCATCTGAGAATACTGTTACACTGTTTGCTTCATTTGTGGCACCATCCGTTGATAATGTCCTCTGCTCTAAACATTAAACAAGGTCAACACAAACTAAGACTATTTGACAAATAGATATTTTTTATATAATAAAAAGAAACTCCCCGAATTAAACAGGTAAATAGCTTTTATTCTCTGTCATCCACCCAAACATTTATAAATTTGAAAAAATCGAAATTTTACAAATATCACGCGTACATGATCTATAGAAATAAGGGAATGCTATTGGCTACCTTCAGTTACGTCACACGATACGTCACGTGTGACGTAATTCCATGCGCCTGTCATCTAATAGGTCATGGCTCTCGACCAATGAAAGCGCTTGAATTCTTTGATATATATTATAACGTAACAGGATGGCTTCATTAAAACGCTACGATACTAAGAATCTCACTCTCGTTTGAAGTGTCATAGTTAATGACGAAATGTTTTTAAAAACGTTCAAACAAAAATTTCCGGAGTGGAGTCACCATGCAAGTTCTCGACAGAAGGCTTTTCAATGTTTTCTAAAACCAATAAGCCATTTGATTTTTAGACTGACAGGTTATCACGTACTTTACCAGTATTTTACAATGCGGCTGATGCAGCAGATTCAACCAATTTTACCCTCTCACACTGCAATAATTATCTTCCTGCATAAACATTTAAAATGCTGAAAAGTATAAAATCACACAGGAAGCCCAGGTAAACACTTAATGTCTGGCTGAAAAAGAGGGGCAGCCCAATCCAACGGCCATTGTAACCTGAAGAGATCATTGGAAGTCCAAAACGATAGTGATCAAAGAGTATGTGTTGAATGTGTTCAGACAATTCATTTCAATCCGAGTAAAGATTTGGCGAAGCGGATTCTTATATGACAGTCATTAGTTTCAATTGAATTTGGGTAAAAGAAGGTGTCCCTATTACGGCGCTTCGGTAGCTCCACAGATCGTGGGTTCTATCCTCACTGCGGACTCATGACACTTATGTGAAACGAGTTAATCAAGGCTATACCAAATGTTGTTGGATTTTCTCGGAATACTCCAGTTCCCCGAGGTTCCCTCTCATAGAAAATGTTTACAGGGTGGGTTGGGATTAACACCTAACTTTATCTCATACCTAACGTATTAGCGGCTTTCCTGTTGGCCAGAACTACGAGGAGGTGCGTTGAATCTCGATCGCGAACCCACCTGCTGACGTATGTTTAGGAGGGGGGTTCGAGATCGATGTTTCGGCGGCGGCCATTATGAAGCGATTTTGAACAAATTTCAGACGAAGATTTAAAGAAAAAGTAAATTAACTGTTTTTAATTGTTTTATAATTATTATTTTTTTATTTTGTTTGATGAAAATCGAATATTCTGTATTCAAAGTGGAAGAGAAGAAAGATGGCCGCCGAAATTTGTTCGGCTCGGGCAGATTTATATAAATCTTCGCACTGTTTTCGCAGAATGTGTGCATTTTCTCTTTTCAAGAATAAGGGAATATTGTAGAGAATTTTTTTGCTTCAATTTAAGCCTAAGTTTGTTTGTTTGCGTAGTATGTTGGCGGCTAAAATGTTCGTTATCCAAACAAGAAACTTCCAGGCACCCTCGGTGCGTCCAATCCCGGACTCACTTCCCTGCAAGTATGCAGTGTTATAGAACCTTCTACTGTAGCTGAGCTTCGTGATTTTTTTGCTGTGACAAAATCCGATTGCAAATTCACTCAATTTGCATTTTGCAATAAAATTTACGAGGCGATCTAGCATTTAATTTTACTTAACGTTGCGCCGGAATGGCATACATACTTGTCTCGTGACTTATATATATATCTTGTGACGTATATATGTCCGACGAAATTTAGTGATGTTGGTTTTTGTCCGACCAAATTCAAGTTATGTCCGACCAAAATTAAAAGTGATCGGACAAATGTCCTGTCAAGTCAAATATTTATTTGCAGCCCTGCAGCCTCATGTAGTGCCCTTAGAAAGCCTTCAACTTGAACAGGATGAGCTGCGTCGTTCGCATTTCAGCTTAATACATGTAGCTCTCTTAGCTCTTCAACACGCCCAGCAGCGAACAGCACCGGCAATGTTTTACCAGGTTTATGTCACTTATAGCGTCGATGTAGCGCCAATTAAGATGCTGCCTGGGGAGTGCATGCTTCCAGGAGCATTGCTGTAATTTTCTGACATTAAATTTCAATTAACACCTGTAAAAACTCTGAATAATTTTATTTCAACTTTGTCTTCGTTAGTTGAAAATGAATAAGAGCTTAGCTTCGCTGTAACACTTTTTGCTGTTGTCCTCTTTACTCTTAGCATGAATTTCACCCTGAAATTGCAGGATATGCAGGGTTCGAAGTAATAGTGTACAATGTGCAATTTGCACATCGTTTTGGACCAAATAGTAAAATTTGCACATTACTTTTCCAAATGATGTGCAACAAAATCAGACTTGGGACAATTAATGAACAACCATCCATATTTATAGATTTAAACAAAGCCAATCTGTTGTCTGATAATTTATAAACAAGTGCTTTTGCATGTACACTAGTAGCATGTTTGCAGACTGGAAGGTGTCAAATTTTAGTCACCATGACAGACAAACACATGCCTAATGTTTGTGTATCAAAGATTGGTGGTAAAGAAATGGTTTTTTAGCTATTAATGTACAACACTGTTCTCTTGATGAGTTGACATAATTAGATAAATAACATGGTAGGACTGCATTGCATGTTAGTACATCCTAAAGGTTACCACCAAACTATACATGTACTCCTGACTGGGAAGTTTGGAAATTGTGCACCAGAGATTTAGAAAATTTAATAATAGTACTAACTATATAAAAAGCATCAAAAGTTGCATGTCCGATATCTCAGTTGCGCGATATTGTGCAGACTTTCCAACCACTGTGAAGTACGCATGACATTTTCGATCTGATGTGATAATCTCACTTAGAAGTAAAAATGAAAAATATAGCCATTTTTCTCAACATTCCAAATGAATTAGAAAAAACAAATCATACAGTTCTTATTAACTAATTAATACCAATATGATTTTGCACACAAAGCAACAAACTCGCCTCAAAGCAGTCCAAAAAGAAATTTTCCTGACAATTACCCAGAGTTGTAACGAGTCACCTACAGGTCGAGTCACGAGTCGACTCACTCAAAGGTCGAGTCATGAGTGGAGTCATTTCAGTTTCTGATCGGGTTAGCACTTTTTTCTATCCAGCAAACCGCCCTATCGATTTTGTAAAGTCGTTTCTTTTTAGATTTTTTTATTAATTCGGTTACTGGGTTAGGGTTAGGGTTAGAGTTGAGGTTAGGGTTAGAGTAGGGGTAGGGTTTGGGTTAGTTACATAGCCATTTAACACCTCTTCTATCTTGCGAAAATGACGTCAGGTCAGTTTGCTGGATGGAAAATAGTGCTAACCTTCTGATCGAGTCGAGTCAGTGGCTTCACTCGAGTCGAGTCAGCGGTTTCACTCGAGTCACTGATTTATGTCGAGTCGAGTCAATAGCTACACTTGACTTGAATCAGGGAATTTGATCAAGTCCACCCCCATCCTCGTCCCCAGGGCCTCTCGCGTCCTCCCTGGGCACTGGGACATACGGAACAGGAAGTGGAAGAAAACTTGCAGTAGTTTCTAAAGCGCATGCTCTTGAATTGGGACACTTTACCACCAGTAACAATTTTCAAAGTGAAGTATTACGAAGAAGTGTTGCGTTGACATATGTTCATAGAATAATTTTTCCCAGCGAAAACTGCTCAACTTCTGCAAAATAGCATTTCTCTGAGAAGCCAATCAGATCTGTCCCTTTAGTCGTCTAACCCAGTGCCAAATTTTCAACGAGTGAAAATGGCTCTGGGGACGAGAATGGCACCTCACGCTTTCTGTAATGGTTCGCTACCCTAGCTTGCACTCTGAAATTAGTAATCAAATTTACGTTTTAAGCTAATCACTTTAGTCATTTAATAACAGTATCTGGGCAGCCATAGGTTGTACCAATATCACAGTTCTAGTCAATATTAAGTACAACCACATGAGATGTCCGAGTCAATGATTGACTCGTTACAACACTGCAATTACCCCGGCACCCTATACAGATAGCTATACTAAAAAAACTGTCAAGAATTGTTTGTTAAATTATAAATTGCACGCGTGCTATTCTATACAATTCTCTTCAACTTTCATATATTGTATAAAATTATTATGCTCTTTCAGTTGGTTACTTACACGTAAGTAGTGCGAGAATGCAAGCAAGCGAAAATCCGTCTCAAAATGGAATGTACTGTATTTCGCGCGTCATACAGAACAGTGCGCTTTCAAGAACTGCCTGTTAAACTGTAAAATATCTTGCCCTATACTGAACAGGTTTTGAGAACACACAGTACTCTCCACCAAACGTTTTGAGAACATACAGTACTCTCCACCAAACAACAAAAGAACATACTCTCCACCAAACGAGTCACAAAACACAACCGTGCATTTTAGGTTGGTATTTATCTAAGACTTTGATGGGTTTTACCATAGACTTCGGTAAATAGTTTGGTTAATCAAATATAATCCTGATAATATACATGAAAAAAACTCAATTCAGTTCTGATTGGCTAAGTGCAGTGCAATTTTTCGAAATATAGTGCGAAAAATTAAATACAGTGCAAAAAAATGATTTACAGTGCAAATTTCTTAATTTTCTTAATTGTTTATTTTTCATTTCTAAATTAATGTGACTTACACACGTGATTGTACTCAGTGGCCCATTTAAAGATTTTGCGGCCGCTACTAGTACACATAATAGATGATAAAGGCAAACGGCTTACGATCGTCGGCACAAGCACTTCAAATCGAAAATTTACCCCCTCAAATTGCTTTATTCTCCAGTTTGCCAGCTTGTAGAACAGATGCCGTTCTTCGAAAATACTTTGATGCTTTGGCAAGATGTATAAGTTTTGGACCATATTTTAACAATGGAAATCAAAACCCATTTTATATTGAACTTACAAAGACCAACGATAATAGGCCTCCTTTACTGCTTTTTGGACTTACAGGGGAGGACACTGCCTGCAAATACCAAAAAGCAGGAAGTACAATGGGAAACAACATGTTGTTGGATTGTATATAGCACGGATGTTATAATTAGAAATGTGTTTAAAACAATTTATGATGTCTATATATATCATATTTCAAATTAGCTTTTAATATAACGATCATATTTCGAATTAATGTACCCCCTCCCCCCTCCGTCGGTCTTTGTAAGTTCAATATAAAATGGGTTTTGATTTCCATTGTTAAAATATGGTCCAAAACTTATACATCTCATCGACGCATCTCAGTATTTTCGAAGAACGGCATCTGTTCTACAAGTTGGCAAATTTTTGCGATTTGAAGGGGTGAATTTTCGATTAGAAGCGCTTGTGCCGACAGATCGATGATCGGAAGTCGTAGTGCAAAGTTTCTGGAAAATGTTAATTCAGCAAAAGGGGAACAAAAAGGAGAACACACACTATCAAATAGGCAAGTAAATCTTGTTACCAATTCCAAATTTGCAATATCGCAGTATGGTCAAATCCGACCCCATGATAAATTCATGTGCATCATCAAATTACACCTATCAATTACCAAGTAACAACTTTACATACAGTCAGTGCCGGAGAGAGGTTGGCGGGGGCCTGGGGCAAAATTTTTTGGGGGGGCCCCTTTTTGAAAAAAAATTTTTCCGGAAAATTTTTTTTCCGACAACCTGCCCCCCCAAACCCCTCCCCCCCCCCGCCAAAAACATTTCGGTCAGTGTACCATTTTAGGGGTCAAAAATTTTTCCGGACAAGTACATTGCACGCACTTTCCAGAGACTTAGCCCAATAAAACAGATATGTTGTCCTTTGCGCGGAAATATTTAACACAGAAAAAAGACTGGGGCCCAACAAAAAATTTTCAGGGGCTCCCAGCACCTCGGGGCAATTTGCCCCCCCCCTCTCGGCGGCTCTACGATATTTCTACAATGGACAGGGCCGTAGCTAGCATGTATAGTTGGCGGGGGTGGGGGTGGGGGGTGGGGTGGTGGGGGTGGGGTGTAGGCCAAAAATTTCCAAATGACGAAAAACATTTCCGAATATTTCATGGCATACAAAGCCACAAAGGTGTTTGCTATCCGGAAAATGAAGACGCAATTTACAAACAAAATACGCATATTTTACACACAGACATATATTACGAAGTATGCTCTTTTTGATTGGGGTTAACCCCCCCAATACCCCCCTCGCTACGGCCCTGACAATGGATTTACATAAAAAGACACAAAACAACGCACACATAATACACGTGTGCACCTTTTATACACTATTTCACGGCATGGTCTAATTTCAAGACCCCGTTGAAAATAAAAGAAATCCATTACATAAATGATTATAAGTAAACCACAGGTCCAAGACGCATGTAGAGGTCCTATTTGTCATTATTTTTAATTCTACGCATCGAAACTTTCAAATATACATCAAATCATCAAATCTTCCATATAAAAAGCAGTACATCGCTGATGTATGATGGATCAGTCAGCATTTGTTCGGTACACTCGGAAATTCGCGAGTCTGACATGTGCAAATTCGAAAACAATGGCGTGACAAAGAAATTTTCAGCAAAGGAAAGCCCAAAAATGATAAAAGAATGCTGGTCAAAAGTGTTGATGGTCGAAATCAAAAGAAAACGATTTAAGGATCATTTTTGGTCGGAAATTAGACAATAACGAAAATAATGAAAAATGAATAATGAAAAAAAACCGCATCAGATTTTTTAAATTCTCGGACGGTAAACAGAATCTACAGTTCCATTGGCCTAACCTATAGTCCTTAGGTCCTATATATGTACGCTATAGATTGTAAATGGATAAACATTGTTTTCCTTGAATAAAGTATATAGATTGCTATGATATACTAACCTCCCTTAAGCGTTTTGGCTGCATCATCTTCATTTCCAACAGACTTGTCTAAGTTGTCTTTCTTGACTTTCTTTGTCTCTTTGATAACTTTACCTTCTAATTTGCTTCTTTTCTCTTTCTTCTTAGTATTTTTTGTCATCTTTGGTAATGCTTCAAGCACAGGCGCACTTTCAACTGTACTTTCATCCTCTTGTTTATAATTTGAGCATTCTCTTGAACGTTTTCTTCCATGTGCTTGCTCAAGTAATTGGGCAAGATTTTTGGATTCTTTTTCAGTGTTATTTTCTGCGGAATATAAATCTCCTTCATAGCGCTCTATCGTAAACAACTCCATTTATATTATGACTGTATTTTGATTTGAATAAAAGCGATTTTATGCTTTAACGAGCGCATTAAAACCTAAATTTTTAACAAAAACAGAAAAATTCTTTCAAAATGAGCCGCCATATTGGATTACTCCGCGCAAGGGCCTGGGAACGTCATTATACCATATGTACTTCATGTAACACCACAGTGAAATGTCCAGGTACTCTTTTTTTATTTTTATTTTTTTTATTTATTCATTTTGTCACACACATTAAAGATATACATTTACGTAGAGATAACAATAACAATAACTAGAGAATGCTGCGACAGGAGAAGAAAACAGAAACTAAATTCCAATTGATATTCGACCCCTTAACAATTAATGGATAACGAGACGTACTAGGACAATTATGCACGAACATATCACAGATTACATGGAACTTAACATATAGGATACTGTACAACGAATTATAGAACAAGATTAACTATGGTGATATGTAGGTAAACAGTTTGGCTTTGTAATAAGATTGTAGATGGTGCTTGAAGATCTGTAGGGAATGGGCGGCTTTGATGTTCGGTGGTAGATTGTTCCAGAGAATGACAGTGCGTGGGAAATAGGATTGTCGGAAGAATTCTTGACTATTGGAGACGATTATGTTATAGTTGTTAGGGTCGAAGTTGCGTGTGGCATAGGGGTTATAGTTGCAGGTGTAAGGTATTGGTTAAAGGTGACATTAATAAGGTTGTATTTGATTTTGTATAATAGTGTTAGGTCATAAAGTTCTCTTACCAAAGATTAAAGGTGATCTACAGTCCGATCTGCGCATGTGCAAAAAGGAGCCCACTTTTTATGATACAAACAGTTTAACTATGTTTTGGGTTCTTGAAAAGCCTGATTATTGTTTCTTGATCATTTATTATACTCTAGAAGCTTGAAAATATAAATAGTTGTCGAATAAAGCTCAATATGTTGGACACAAAAATGTAAACAAAGGCTTTGTTTACATACGGACTGTAGAGCACCTTTAAGTATATAGCTCTTACCGAAGATCGTTAAAACGCAAAATAATCAACAACCATGTACTCATAACAATCCTGAAGTAAAACCTTACAGTAAACTAGTTTCATATTCATGTTTCGCTCGCTACTCTGGTTTAAATAAATGATTACAAAGCCCAGTCGAATTGTAGCCTAATCAAGACCAAACGTTTCGACACTCCAGTCTAGTGTCTTCATCAGGGGTGATCTAAAGTTACAATCGTGGCTTCTTAAATACCCAAGGGATGACGTCACCTGCCAATGAGATGCATGTATTCCTCTAGCAAATAGGCACCGTCGTCCCTATTCAAAGCATGATTACTCATATTTATATGCCACGCTTCTAGGCAAAGTCTTTGACCATAGCGATGTTTGTGGTAATTACTTTAGAGTTTTCCCACGCAATCTCGTGTTTGGTGTAACACACATGTTCTGCTAAAGCTGATTTTCCCTTGTCTAAAGTTGAAACAGCCTTTTGATGTTCTTTTAGATGAAACGGCCTTTTGATGTTCTTTTAAGGCAACCTTAATATTACAATAGGGAAATAAAAAAGAACATCAAAAGGCCGTTTCATCTAAAAGAACATCAAAAGGCTGTTTCAACTTTAGACAAGGGAAAATCAGCTTTAGCAGAACATGTGTGTTACACTAAACACGAGATTGCGTGGTACAAGCAATCGCTATGGTCAAAGACTTTGCCTAGAAGCGTGGCATATAAATATAAGTAATCATGCTTTGAATAGGGATGACGGTGCCTATTTGCCAGAGGAATACATGCATCTCATTGGCAGGTGACGTCATCCCTTGGGTATTTAAGAAGCCACGATTGTAACTTTAGATCACCCCTGATGAAGACACTAGACTGGAGTGTTGAAACGTTGGGTCTTGATTACAATTCGACTGGGCTTTGTAATAATTTATTTAAACCAGAGTAGCGAGCGAAACATGATTGATATACCTGGTTGCAGTGAACGAACAAACTTTAGTGTCATATTATTCTGACACTGCAAAGTACAACGAAAAATTCGTTGTCTCGAACGCGATTCGAACTCGCATTATCATCTAGTTTTTCATATCAAGATTTTGTTGGCATTTCACTCGTTTGAATGATGTTGAAAGGTATTGTAGATGGAAATTATCGAGTGGAGATTTATATACATTTATTAGACCTAACCAGGAACAGCTATACGAAAATGCATCTTTAGGTCCCTGCATGGCATGCAGGAATCGAACCTGGGGCTCTGCGATTCCAGTGCAGTGCTCTAACCAACGTAACCGAGGCACTGAGCTACAGTTGATGAACTCTAAGTCTCTAACCACAAGTTCATGTAAAAAAGGTTGTCCTTCGAAAATCTAGTCTGCGTAGCGGCTATCAGAGAAAGGACAGTCCTTTCTCTGATAGCCGCTACGTAGGTTATCGAAAATCTCAAACCTTAAACTCTAAGCGTGCAAGGTGTGATGGGTAACTTCTTACTTAAGGCCTAAAAGGTGAGGATTTTGCATTGCAACTATGGCAAAACAGATAATAAGCACTTAAGATGTACAACTAGAAGTGTACTAGGATCATTTGCCGAATCAAAAGCCCTAAAAAGAAGTTACCCATCACACTTTGCGCGCTTAGAGCTTAAGGTTCGAGATTTTCGAAAGCTGTATACTATAGGGCACTGCTATACAGGGTGTATGAAAAAACGGAGTCGTCCTAAATATCCTTATTTCTATCGTAAAATAAACTACCATGCATAGTTTCGTTTTGTGCTCAATTTAAAGCTTGTTCTTTCATCTTTCGAATGAAAGGTTTCTTGAAAATTTTGGACTAAGGCTAATCGCAATAAAAAGAATTTAGTACAAGCGCTCGTTTTTAGATGCTTCGAAATATTAATCTTCGAAGTCCCTTGGGGACTTAATTAAAGGTTGCTAAAATTTAGAACGTTGTCGTTTAAAACTTTACAATCACCATTCATAATGCCAAAGCTAACAATTCCGGAAAGAACATTCATTGTTGAAAAGTATTTCGAAACAAAAAGCGTTGTTGCAGTGTTAAGACAATTTCAAATAGCTTTTCCAGGACGTAATCCACCATCTTCATCGAGCGTTTGGCGTAATGTCAACAAATACCGGCTGCATGGTACGAGTTTAAATCGAAATAAAGGAAACTTGGGAAGAAGAAAGACAGGAAGATCAGAGGAGAATATTCAGGCAGAAAGGGAGCAGCTTGAGAACAATCCACATGTAAGTGCGAGAAGAAACGGCCTCGGTCTCCCGTCCGCAACGTTCAACAGAATCACGAGGCTAGACTTGAGATGGCATCCATATCAAATAAGTGTTCGGCATGAATTGAAGGGAATGATTATCTTCGACGACGAAATTTCTGTCGGTGGTTCTCAAACCACCAACGAAATCATCGTTTTCTAGCAAATTTTGTTATCGGCGATGAAGCAGCGTTTTGTATGAATGGAGAAGTAAATTCCCATAATGTCAGACAGTATGCACCAAGAGGTAATCCGCCAGACTTTAATTTTGACAGGCGCGATGAAAGACGAAAGGTAACTGTATGGATGGGTATCTGTGGAAATGGAGCTATCCTCGGACCTTTCTTTTTTGCTCGTAATGTTGGTGGTAATGCTTATCTTGACCTACTGAATGATTACATTATCCAGCAACTTATTGAATTGTTTAACAATCAATATCAAGACGGCAATTTTCAGCGACTTTGGTGGGCTCAAGACGGCGCCCCAGCACACCAACTGATCGCTGTACGAGAAAGACTTTCAGAAATTTTTGCAGATCGATCGTGTTATTGCTTTACATCTTCCTATCGAATGGCCGCCCCGCTCACCCGATCTGACACCGTGCGATTATTTCCTTTGGGGGTACCTTAAGGACAAAGTGTACCATACACCACCACAAGATATCAACAACCTTCGTCAAAGGATACAGAATGAGGCAAATGTCTTACAAGAAAACCCAGAATTTATCCGAAGAGTTGTCTTGGATATGAGACAAAGAACGAACTTGTGTGAACTTAGAAGTGGGGGCCACGTTGAGTAACTGTGTACTTCCAACTTATTTTTTGGAACGTTTAAACAGATTGTGAATTCAAGACATCTACGTTTTTTAATTTTCCAATTGCACTTACTTAAATTGACACAGCTTGCCAGCAATAACTCCAAATTTTATAAAATAAAGTATATAAAATAGCCGAAAGATCGCGATTTCGAAAGAATGCAAGTATAAACGTCTAACTTTCATATTCGCTTTGAAATTTACACTTCATGTGAGGACTCCGTTTTTTTTTATACACCCTGTATATATATATATAGGTTATGGGTATAAATGTCAAGATTTTGTCGGCATATCACTCGTTTGAGTAATGTTAAAGTATTGTAATTGGAAATTTAGAGCTCGACAGCTGCATGGCCTCTGTAGCTCAGTTGGTTAGAGTGCTGCACCGGAATCGCAGGTTTGATTCCTGCCAGGGACCTATAGTTGCATTTTTCGCAGTTGTTCCTGGTCAGGTCTAATAAATGTATATAAATTTCCACTCGATAATTTCCATCTACAATGCCCTTGAACATTAGTTTTTCACAAGCGTTAAGTCGTCGCGAGCCTAACATTAACTCTAAACTAAAGCAAACTCTGAGTTTAAATTTTGGGCTGTCTTGGGGAAGCCTCACATATCGATTTTTTCCACGAGAAACGTCATATGTTCGTTTGGGGGTGGGGGGGTTGGCAGCTGTGACGTTTCTCTGTAAACATCATGGAAAAATTCGATAGTTTTTATCTTTGCAGAATATAAAAAAGAAAATAATTTGATACAAACAGCAGTCTATACATTCGTAATACCATACCTGTTCTATACCTATGCATTTATATTATTACGGCTTCCTTGCATTGTAAACACTCAAATTTCAAGAAAGGCGCGCTAAAATTATCAATATTTCAATTTCATGCAAAAAAGTTGTTTTGAGAAACGTTGGAAATTTTGAAGAAAAAGAGTATGTCATATTCCTCGCGGAAGCATCGCCAATAGCCGACCGAAAAAATGTATATAGAAAATTACCTTATTCATGTGTACTATAAGAACAAAATATCGATAAAATGTGTGACGTTTCTAAGGGGGGGTGGGGGGGGGGGTCTCCAGAGAAACGAACATATGACGTTTCTCATGGACAAAATCGATAAGTGAGGCTTCCCTTGAAAGCTTCCATCTCGTCCATCTCCTGCTTGATTTTGGTAGCTCCTGCTAGGGGCAGAAGTCGAGAGAAAATGCCGGGTCCGTAAAACGCTATTAGTCAGTTCACTTTCAATCAGTTGTTAACTGATCCATAAGGGATATGTCACATTTAGTCTTGCGACGCATCCGGGGATACTAATTTTGATCAGGTCAGCAGTCGCACGTATTTTTACGCACGTATTTTTATTCAGTCTACCATTCCTCTATAAAACATACTCCGTACTATAACAACAACAACTCAATGGCCCGATTTGTACTAGAGACGGATCAACTTGAGCTGACAAAAAATACGGCGGCAAAAAGATGGATCATCCGTTTTGAACTATACCTGTATGCGTAGTTCTTCTTCAATGAGCGAACTTACGCATGAGCGCTTCGTACTTTCCCTTCAGGATACATCCGCCTATAGTTTTCTAATTAAAACATGAACTCTCATGAAAATACCAAGTAATATTTGTTCACAGGACCACTGGTAGACGATCCATCTCTAGACGAAATCATGTTATCGGGCCAACATAGCCTATATATTGCCACTACAACATTTAGCGTCGTACAAAATAATTACTGTTGTTCGTGATTATTCTGCGAAGTCTCTTTGTTCTCAGTAAAGTTTCCGAGCAGCAGCCCAATGATTGACTTGGCGAGAAAGTTCCGCCGCCATATCTTTGTCCACATCAGGTGCCTCTTTTGATGTAATGATACAGTTTAATAAATCCACCAACATACGAGCGCTTTCAATCACATTTGGAAATGGTATTTTCTACAAGAGAAAATAAAAATGGAAAATTAGCATTAGAGGATTGATCATATATTATACCTATCATATACTTGAACAACATGACTACACGCTAAACGAACGTAAACACTAAATCTAGCTATACGTTTGTTGAATTTAAACGTGTATTCTATTTCTTGCTTCCCTACACTCACATTGCACGCAACTTTAACTTGTCCAATATCAACAAAATCTCTTTACTATTTAATCAAATGTTTGTCCCATAATTTAATGAATAATCAAGTCTGGATTTATTGAGTTTCCCCCGACTTCTTCGTCCGGATTAAATGGTGGCATTGGAGACAGAAACGAAGCCATTGTCGTTGTTTTAAAGTTGTACCTCGTCGCCATTGTTTAATTTAAACGTATATTCTATTTCTTGCTTTCCTACACTCTCACATTGCATGCGATAACAATCCCATTGTTTCCTACTGTTTCATAATATGTCAATCATGAGAGGGGTGTGTCTACAACACTACAACGTACAGTAGCAGTAGTTTTTCATTTACAAAATGGTTTTCAAAAAAGGGATTTACTGACATGGCGCTATTATCAGTGATGACGTGACAATAATTTCTGTGCCGATTTCAGATCCACATTGATAATATTTGAAAAATGATATAGGAAGTCATTTAACAATACGTTAACAATTACATTGATGATATCCGAAAAATAAATAAAACGTCATTACCAACTGGGGATAAACGTGCTGAAAATAATGTAAATATCAGGATTTTGTTGGCATCTCACTCGATTGAATAATAGTTGAATGGCATTGCGGAAGGAAATTATCGAGTGGAAATTTATATGAACAAGTACGATCGTACTATAGTGGACCAGGAACTGCATGACCCAGTTTTCGATCTTGTGCAAATCGTTAAACGTTCAAAACCTTCGAGATTTTGACTTGATAAACAAATAACTAGACACTTGTGAAACTAATGTTCTCGAAGTTGGCAACGTAGACTGAGTTCGCTAAATGTTTTGCTTTAATTTGGTCATGCAACATTTACTTTATCCGGGCAAAATGTGTCTAGTGCCGTGTATAGCCTAAATGAGGTGTAAATCTGGACAAAGCATAGATAACTATATAAATGCGCAGTTTTCAAAAGTATTTCCTCTCATTTGAATTCGATAGATAAGTTAAATGTCCCACAATATTTAGAATACACATGCCAGCCTAAGTCAGCTAACTTTTGCCGTACATCAAATTTTGCCGTGCCGTGCGTGCCATTAATTGCAAAATATTGCAGCTACAGTCGTGTACGTGCCTTGTACGGGGCTTAAGGAAGCGTTTACACTGTACCGTTTTCGTAGCGTTCTCGTACTGTTCTTAATCTTCAAGGGAACGCAAGACAATAGTCTAGTTCTCTCGAACAATACGAGAACGCTACGAAAACGGTACAGTGTAAACGCTGCCTAAGTTAAGGTAACAAATGATCTGAATTGTTGCTAGGTTAATGCAATTTCATCTCGCTTAGTCATGGCTTCATAACTGCATGCTTGTGCAAAAACAAATTGACATGTCTTTGTTTTTACGGTTCACGATTTTCTATCGGACTATGAAATATTATATGATAGCCAGATAGCAATATTACTCCTCGATCTGCGCTTTGAGAAACTAAGCCAGCGTGTACATTCTTGAGAAGCTTTAGACTACTGTGATTGTGTTCACAACAATAGACAAGACAATGTCTTTCTTATCGTTTGAGTTTGCTGATATATTTGCTGATATATTTATTTATTTTATATAAGTTATCAATGAATTTTGTCCTGAGGTCGATGAACTTCATGTTTGTACAAGACATTAAAAAGTGATGTTCATCTCCTACTTCATTTAACTCACAAAGTCCGCATAGTATATCATTGTATGGGACATTGTTGTATCTACCAGTTTCAACAGTTAGCTATATGTGCTGATATTCTTAACTTTGTAACAGCTTGACGATATTTGAAATTACTAATTTCGTTTAAGTATTTTTCACATTCAAAGTGTTTTTTTTAAATTTTTCTAAAAGTTCTTAGCTTGCCAGTATTTTCGACAGGTTGAAACTGCTCTGCCCAATACAATATAAACGCTTCTTTAAATCTATGTTTCACGTAATGGCAAACATTTCCTTTTTCTGTGTCAGATAATTCCGTCTGCAAGTTGGATAATTCAGTTTGTGAACCGCAATTTTCTTCCCCACATAGTTGCAGTAAACAAAACTATATCCAAAAGTAAACAAAACTATATCCAAATTATCAAATGCAAATGATGCTATTGAAGTCAGTACTCTGTTTATACAACAAGAAGTGGTCGAATCATAGCAAATACAACCAACTGGAGAGCAGCTCAGTATCAATGGGTTGGTCAAACTTGGTGAAATTATTTATGTCAATACAGTGCCGTGTATATTTACAATGTTCATATCTGCAAGTTTTTTTTATTATAAAAGTGTATTTTTCCAATTTAGATTGGGTGGGTCATGAAAATTTTTTTGTAAGATTAGATGGGCTTTGAAATTTTTATCTACACCCTAAGATGGGTCACCAAACTTATTGGCAAAATTTGTGATTTACCTCCAGCCCACCCTAGCAGTTACTTTATGACCAGTCCCTTAGCTATGTGAACGATCAAAGGCGTTCTTCCTAGCTCAGCATAAATAGCCATGTTTGTTGATTTTGAATGAACTCCTAAGACTCTTTTGCAGAATTTTAGATGAAGTTTTTCAATTGCACTATTGATTTGGAAAATTTTTTTCTTGAACATGTCGAAAGAATTTATTCTGCCCAATAAATGCGGACCCCACACTTCGCAACCGTATAATAAGATTGGGGTAACTATCGAAGAAAATAGTTTTAACATTAGTTTTATTGGAACATTTTCGACATTTGAGTAATACCCAGATAACAATATTCATCAACTTGTTCCAAAATGTTTTTGCCGAATGTCCAGATTGATGTGTAGAATGCCAACGTTTTTGGGTTGGTGTTCCAAATACTAGAACTTTGGATTTTTTAAGATTAATGTTTAACTTCCACTTTTTGGTATAGTAAACAAGTTTTGTGAGGCAATTTTTGTAACCCTGCCCTGGATTCGGATAATAAGACTAGGTCGTCTGCGTAAAGTAAACAGCTTAGATTTGTATCATTTAATTTTACTGGAGTGAATGACCTGTCAAATATATCAGGTAGATCATTAATGAATAGGTTGAATAAAGTAGGACTTAAGTTACAACCCTGTTTGACTCCTACATGTGACCTAAAGAAAGTTGTATACCCCTCTTCCAATTTTACCGAACAGTCATAGGAGGAATACATGCTTAACATTAAACGTATGAATCTCTTGCTGCAACCATTCAAGATCAATTTGAAGAAAAGACCCTCCCTCCATACACTATCGTAAGCTTTTTTGAAGTTAATAAAACAAGCAAAGATTGGTTTACGTTTTGATTTGTAATAATCTATTAGAGTTTTCAAAACTAATAGATGGTTGGCTGTCCTACAATTTTTTCTAAATCCGATTTGGCAATTGCTGATAATGTTGTTTTCGTCTAGATATTTATTTAGTCGTTCATTCATAATTAATGTGAAAAATTTTCCCAAACAACTGCTTATGCATATTCCTCTATAATTATTCGGGTCGATATTACTTCCTGATTTATAAATGGGGACTATAAAACCTTTAGACCAAAGTGATGGGAAGTGTCCATTGGACAAGATTTTATTAAACAATTTTTCAAAGTAGGATGGCAGAACCTCAACTGCTAGTTTAATGATCTCATTGGACAACGAGTCATTGGCACTGGCTTTCTTATTCTTTAATCTTTTTGATAATTTGTACACTTCTTCCAGTGATACTGGTCTGTCAAGAGTATCGTTTGTACCTATATGCCCAGATATTAAAATCTTTTATGATTTGTGCTTCAATGCTTGCTACTTCAGTATTGATATTTATTTTGTTCAAGTTTTTGAAATAATCAAACCATTCAGATGGTAGAATTTCGTGTGAAGTTCTAGGTTTTTGAGCTTTTATGGAGTTAACGAGTTTCCAGAAATCTTTAGGATTGTTTTCTGATAATAATTCAATTTTATTTAGTATAGAATTATGAAATTTTCTTTTTTGTTTTTTACTGTACGTTTATATTCCTTCTTTTTTGCAAAAAAAGAGATGACGTAAGTAAATGTCGTTGGGAAATTTCAAGAGTAGACTACCTAAATTTCTCAAGTTCTTTTTCAGATTGTGACAATTTCCGTCATACCATTCTCATCGTCGAACCTGCGATTCCGATAAGCAACTGAGCTACAGAGGCCAGTTGTCGAGCTCCAACCACAAGTTCATGTATATATACTAGGGTACTGCCATGTATATAAGTTACGGGTAAATATCAAGATTTTGTTCGCATCTCACTCGTTTGAATAATGTTGAAGGGTATTGTAAATGGGAAAGCTGGAAAGTCCTAGTCCTGCATTTTTTGGGGGCGGATAATTAGGGGGGTGTCTGAGGAACATTGTGAATCTTCCACATTTAAAGGATCTATCACATGCAGAAACAACTTTTCATAGGACTTTTTTCCCTGACTCAGTGAACTTGTGGAGCAAGAACGTCAGTCATTGGCCTATGGGAAAAGTGAAGCCAGGATGGTGGAATCGTCCAATAGCTATCGAAATTTCGGTCGGAATATTCGGTCGGATACGGTCGAAATTTCGGCACACTCCTGGCAGCTTCCTGTCCAACCGCGCAGACAAAGAATAGAAAGGGACTGGGTCCAATAGCTCTCCAATTTCGGCCATCCTTTGGCTTCACTTTTTGCACTCGACTTCTCGCTCCAGATATACGTGGAGCTCATTGTCCTGGCTAAACCACAATGCATCACGATTGAAAACGATGTCGTAATTATGACGAAAATCTTAATTAATGTGGCGCAAGTAATTAAAGACGTCATAATAAGATACTTCATTCTCATTCCGTTCTCGCGCACTGCTACAGTCGGACGTTACGTTACTCGCTGCTTGCAAAAAGATTACAAAACTTTAAAATAACACTTTGTTGTTATGGGATACCTAAGAAAGATATGCGTTGGAGCAGCTGCAGTTGTCAGCTCAGCATTGCTTGGGTATTTCTTATACAAGAATTATTTTCAATCGAAAGAGGTATGACCATTGAAAAATTGTCAAACCACATTCGAAAATCTGGCAATCATATAGTAACGATATTTTTTTTAACAGGACATCGATGAAGGAGAAGATGATTCATTTAAAACTGAATCAAATTCAGCAGAAATTAATGAAACTCAGAGCATGATTTCAGCTGAAGATGTTAACGAAGCTGAAAACGGGAATTCAACTAAAGTCGTTAACGAAGCTGGAGCCAGCAACACCAGTCAGTGTTCAACCCAGCATCAATCCAAAAATAAGGGCAAAAAACCACCGAGCAAGTCTACAACAGGCTATATGGGCCTTCGCAAGGGTTTCCTGCTGAAATAGATTAGGTAAATGCAATCAGCAATGTAAATCTTCAAGTATCGTCAAACAAATCCTTATACTCATTGATTGTACTTTTTTTCCAGATTATCATGCAAGGTTGTCAAGAGATTTCAGTTTAGTTTATAACTTAGTTAAAGTTTTTTCATTAATCATTAGTGTAGTTAAATTATATTAAATTTAATAATATTGTAATAAGTTTTATTGTAGTTTTGAAATAAATTTTGGAAAACAAATGAATGTGTCAATATATCAATACAATAATATATATATATATATATATATATATATATATATATATATATATATATATATATATATATATATATATATATATATATATATATTAAAATATAGTCACAACTCTGAGTTTCACGCTCAATGCGATCTTCAGGCCACAATATTTAATTAAAAATGTTTATTGGATGGATGTGCTCTTTTATTTTTGTTTTAAAGTCTTTGGGAATGCATAAAAATTAACTTATGACGCGATTTTGATTAAAAGATTTATTCTAAATATTCAATGACCCTGCATGGTAATCAAATTCTAATGTTCCAAGAAAGAAGCGTCGCGTGTTTTTTTATAAATACGCCTCGTTTAACGAAGGACCAAAGAGTTTCGATATGTTTAGAATATGTAAGGGTAAATAATGCTCGTGAGGTTATACCAGCGGCGTTGGTCAGGTCTCTGAAAACGAACGTGTACTTTCTGACTATAGTGTGTCTAAACACAGGTTATTGCTGTATTAATATTTGATAGGCCGTTTTTGGCTAATTCTCGACACTTTCAAAAATGGTTACTCAAGTTTAAACGCAGCTCTCTCGGTATTGATTGCACAAAAATGCACAGGGCGTGTATCACAATTTAAGTTAGACAATACTGAACGCAATGCACGTAATTCATGTGTAATAGCTCTTTTAGTTTTTAAGTTAAAACAAATCAAACAGGGCACAACTTTGTTTTGCGCCACCCGCACGAGAAGGAGTGTTTTATCATATTTAAAACGCAAGGCGCAGCCGAGCATTTTAGATATGATAAAACACGAGTTCGAGTGTTTTGAATAGCTTAAAATACGACTACAAAAGAATACTAATTAGGATGAACAATTATATAATCATATACTAATTAGGATGAAGAATTATATAAAGAATACTAATGAAGATGAGTTTTATCAGATATAAAGTCACTCCACGTGACATAATATGGCTGACATGATTTGCCACAAGGTTTATGAACTTTTAATGAGTATTTTAAATATATTTTAAAAACTCAATAATTCATGAAGAAAAGACAAAGGAAATCACTGCCGTGTCGGTGGTTTTATACGTGATAATCATGTTAATTTACATAAACTTTAGCTTTGATTTTCTCGGCATAGACAAAGTTTATTTTAATTAAAGAATGAGTCTCACGGTAATGCTTTGCGCGCTTGGTCGCAGCTTGTTGGCATCAACTATTTCGCTGCAGAATGACTTTTCGTCAAAACTTTTTTCCTCAAGATTGGTTTATAGAAACAAATTTGGAGTAGGGTTAGGTTAGGGTTAGTGTTTGGAGTAGGGTTAGTGTTAGTAAAACCGTTGCTTTGTTACGTTTTGTCACTCTGAGGCCAGCGAAATAATCTCTTCCCAGCTTGTTCGGCCATTTTAGGGTGCCAGGAAAAATGGCGACTTTTCTATATTAGGAGCTGTGTGAATAAATCCGCGAATATCCGAACAATCTTCTGTTCATCGTAAATTATTCATTACTCCTGAAATTCTGGGCTGTGAATATATAGCTTGACCTGCTGTTACGCATTTCATAATATTTAGTTGTAATAAACGACAAATTGAAGTCTACAGTGCATGTGGCGGTGTTTATATATAGAATAATACCGATCATGTCGAGATATAGGGTCTGTGCGTATAAAATTAAAGAAGGACGTACATGAGATGTGGATCACATGAGATTGTGGATTCTTAACGAAGACACATAGAGATTATACTTCACACTCTCCGGTCGAAATGTATGGAATACTTACGGTATGACGTAGTCCAACTGGCGAAGGAGCCACATATTAAAAGCACTGGGTGTGAAAAAAGAAAGCGCGGGAAGCCCCAACCCATATATGGTAGTAAGCACCATATAAGGGATCACCCCAGGTTACGATCTTCGACTTTTTTCAAATGTGCGAAGGAGCTACAGCTGTATTTTAAGGTAAGTGCAATTTTATCATAGTTTTTTGCACCTTTCCTTTTTCTTTCAGTGAAATTTATATTTTTCCAACGTATACGGTTGGTTAGGATGACGTATACGTTGGTTAGGATGACGTTCACGATCAAGAAGTAAAGACGCTTCAAAATCTCCTGCCAAATCACGGCATCGATCGGAAAGATCTAAGAAGCGTCGACGATCGAATTCACCTGCAAACCATGGGGAAGATAACTCCCCGATACTAGAAAAACTTTTAAACAAAATGTCTACGATCAGTTCTACAGTAGAAAAACTCAACGAACGCATGACAAGCCTTGAATCTGCGCGGGTCAAAGACACCGACAATATGGCAGCCGAACAAGATGACACAAGTTGTCCTGAACCAACAGATGTCTCAGATCAGCTTTCTATTGCTGTCCCACCGGACGCAGAGATAGAAAGTTTTAGTCCAGTAATCCTGGACCCCAATTTTAGCCACAAAGTTGGCAACATAACGAGCAAATCGCTCACCCAAGGTCATAACAATGACACCACTTGTTTATCAGAAAACAACAATGGCGGAAAGAACCTTTCCGAAGTTGAGGCCCAGCCTAGCAGGATAGTGCAAAACACTTACCGTTTGATCCTGTGGCTGAAGCTCCTAGTTGGGAGCCTTCTACGGTATTTAAATAATTTTTAGAGACGAATTTTCGTCGCAGTCTCTCCTGATCACAAATTTTTAGTATTTTTGGAAGAAACGTCTCTTCCTGATTTAGACGTGTTTACAACGCCAAAACTTGATAAACCTATCGCGGATCAAATTCAAAAAAATTATAAAAAGTCGGTTGAAAACCGTGATAAAGAACTGATAAACGGGTTCAGAGACATGTCCTAAACGTGGGGGCTCCATTGACAGCCCTCCATGCATGATCTGCTAGAAAGCAAACAAGAATTATCACATGATCAAATGTTAAGCCTTGTTGAACGGGCCATTTGTTTGCTAGGGAATGCAGCAAATTCCCTTTCGGTGTTGCGTAGAACTAAGATTCTATACGCTATAAATCCGGCAAAAAAATTCGCTTGCAGAACCCCCTTTTCCAAACGCAGGAAAGCAGTTGTTTGGCGAGGACATTACGAAAATAACAGCTGATAGTGCTGACATTGTTAGAAATCTACAAAAAACTGAATCAACAGCACCCACAAACATCTTCGTGGTCGAAAACACAATTGAAAAAATACTAATCAAAAAACCAAAATTTTCGCCCGACTCCCTTCGCCCCAAATCACTACCCTCACCAGGCGAAGGGCAGATTTCAATTCCAGCAGCAGCCCTTTCGAGGCAAGCAAAACAACAGCTCCCACTAGCGGGGCGCCTTTCTTTCTTCATAAAAAACTGGCTAAATATAACACAAGATTCTACCATTTTAGAAATCGTTCAAGGTTATCAAATTCAATTTCACAGTCCTCCTATTCAAAAAACTGTTCCTCGCCCGTCGTTGCAAAATTGCAAGTTAGTAAGCGAGGAAATCGAAGCGTTGTTACACAAAGACGCGATCAAGCGTGTACATTTCAACGACCAAGCGTTCTATCACAGAATATTTTTAGTTGCCAAAAAAGGTGGTGGTCAACGCCCAGTTTTAGATCTAAGCCCTCTAAACAAATTTATCCAGACAGAACATTTCAAAATGGAAAATCTCATGACAATAAAATCCCACAAGGGGATTATATGATAAATATAGATTTGACAGATGCATATCTAACCGTTCCTATACATCAAACCTCGCAAAATATTTCTTTCCTTCCTATGGCAAGGAACGTCTTACCAATTCGTAACAATGCCGTTTGGTCTGAATGTTGCACCGAGAGTGTTTACAAAATTGATGAAGCATGCAGTAATAGCTTGGCTGCGCGGTCAGGGTGTTCGAATGATTATTTTTCTAGACGATATACTCGTGCTAGCCCCATTAATCGAAACATTAAACCAACACACACGTATGACTATAAGTCTACTGGAATCATTAGGGTTTCTGATCAATTACAAGAAGTCAACACTAATACCCACGCAGAGGATCCTCTTCTTGGGGATGCTCATAGACTCAACAACGATGGAATTTATTTTGCCAAAGGAAAAATCAGAAGATATTCTAAGAGAGTGTCGGCATCTTTTGAAGACACAACAGCCTTCCATCAGGCAAATATCACGGGTCCAGGGGCTCCTAGAATTCACTCGCCCAGCGATTTGGCCCGCCCCTTTTCATTATCGTCACATTCAACTTGTACAGATAGAGTCTCTACATCAGACGTCCGATTACAACACACAAGTGAACCTCTCCAAATAGGCGAAATTGGATTTGATTTGGTGGATAACCAATCAACCATCGCTGGGGGGAAGTCCCATTCTGCCTCTAACTGCCGATCTAACAATCTCATCAGATGCTTCCAAAATAGGCTGGCGAGCATCCTGGGGGAAATTTCGGACGGGAGGACGGTGGAATATCCACGAGTCCCAGGATCACATAAACATCCTGGAACTCAAGGCAGCCTTTTTGCCCTGAAGTCGTTCGCGAAGGATCAGATCAACAAGATGATTTGTCTGAAGATAGACAATTCGACTGCAGTAGCCTATCTGAACAAGGGAGGGACCCACTCCCATCAGTTACTGCAGCTAACATTGGAGATATCGAATTGGTGCGAGACAAAACGCCTGTATCTACTAGCTCAACATGTTCCGGGAAAGAACAATGTTGTTGCGGACGAAGAATCGCGCAAAATGAGGGACCACAACGACTGGAAAATCGATTCGACAGTCATCAGGCACTTCATCAAGAAGTGCCAGATAGACCTCTTTACTTCCCGCCTGACTCGTCAGCTGAACCGTTACATCAGCTGGCGACCAGATCCGGGTGCGATCCATGTGGATGCGTTCACCATGAACTGGACGAACTTAAATGCGTACGCATTCCCTCCATTCAATTTGATCCCAGCGGTCCTTCACAAAACCAGGAAAGAGAAGGCGACATTAGTCTTGATTGCCCCCCTATGGTCGGCTCAACCCTGGTGGCCTCTGTTGATCGATCTAGTGATAGACTACCCAATTTATCAGGGGAGCGATCCAAATCTCCTGACGGACGTGTCCCACCCAAAGGCGATTCATCCTCTGTTTCCGGCCCTAAAACTGGCCGTGTGGAGAATATCAGGCGATATTAAGAAACAGCAGGCCTTTCATCAACAGCTACCGACCTGCTCACCAACAGCGTTAAGACCTCAACCACCAAGGCATAAAACTGTTCCTGGTCTCAATGGAGTCGCTGGTGTGAAGGACGGGAGAGTGATCCCGTACTTGGTCCAGTCTCCGAGGTCTTAACGTTTTTTTTGGCAGAACAATTCGAGCAGGGGAAGCAATACAGAACGATTAATGTGCTGCGATCTGCTATTTCGTCAGCGCATGTTCACGTTGATAATAAACCGATCGGCCAACACCCGTTAATCATAAAGCTAATGAAGGGAGTTTCAATATCTCGACCCCCTCAGCCACGCTATCAGCACACTTGGAACGTTGCGACGATAACGAAATACTTAAGTCTATTGGGAGAGAATGCCAAACTGTCTGACAAGCAACTGTCACAGAAACTTTGTATGCTGATGGCGTTGGCATGTCCAGAGCGAGGCTCTATTATGGCATCGTTGGACACAAGATACATGAAGTATTTCCCAGAAGGTGTAAAGTTCCAACACACGGTTTTTCGAAAGCGTTTGCATAATGGCAAACTTGGGGAATTTGTTTACCCTAAATTTGCTGAAACGTTACTCTGCCCAGTGGCGTGGCTTTCTGTCTACTTGGAAAGAACAAAAGAATGGCGAAAAGACACGACCGACAACATGCAACAGCGTTTATTCCTCTCGTTTAAGAATCCACATAAACAGGTGACAGCGCCCACGCTCTCACGTTGGTTAAAGGAGGTTATCCGTCAATCGGGTATTAAAGATTTATTTGGGGGACATTCTGTTCGAGGAGCGTCTACATCATCGGCAAAATAGGCTGGTTTAAGTATCGATATGATTTTAGACATGGCAGACTGGACTAGTACATCAACTTTTAATCGTTTTTATTATAAACCTACACTGACAGTTTCTTTTGGAACAATTGTATTATCGCAAAAATAGTTGCGGTATTGTTATTATTATTGTTAAAAATAAAACAACAAAGAACAAACATAAATAAAATGTGCTCTGTAATCTACCGTAAGTATTCCATACATTTCGACCGGAAAGTGTGAAGTATAATTTTAATTATACCAGCGCCGCGAAGCGGGCGCGTATAATTATGATTATACGAGCACTCGAAGGGAGAAATGTATGGAACCCACCCAGCTGGTGGCTGTCCCACCCAATTGTTTATTTAAATGGTGGTCGTTACAGAGTTGATATATAAATTAAAAGTAAGTTTAACCTCTCTTTGGGGAATTATTACAATAGCGCGTGCATGTTGTCGTGGTGATCCACTGCAATGCTTTGTAATAAGTCGAAGATCGTAACCTGGGGTGATCCCTTATATGGTGCTTACTACCATATATGGGTTGGGGCTTCCCGCGCTTTCTTTTTTCTCACCCAGTGCTTTTAATATGTGGCCCCTTCGCCGGTTGGACTACGTCATACCGTAAGTATTCCATACATTTCTCCCTGAATTCGAGTGCTTGTATAATCATAATTATATGGGCGCGCCGCTTCGCGGTGCTGGTGTAATTAAAACTTTGCACAGCACTTGCTTTTGAATTTTGGCGAAGACGAGCCTTTGCAATTATCAATGGAATCTCCAGGCGATGGTAAATACTACATATTTGTTATTATTAACGCAATTAATTTCTTTATATTTTAAAACGATTCGTTATCTACGTTCCATATGATCATATCTTTTGTATAGAACACTTTAGATCGACCCTTGCCATATGTAAACATAAACCAAATCTACTGTGACGTAACGAGGCATTCGATTCAAGTCATGGCGGCAAGGATATGCAAACACTATATGCAAATGATATGAGACAAATAAATGTTCAGTTCCGATCCTTTGCGAGGAAATATCCCTCGAAATTGACGGAGAACAAATAATTTACAGTCGAACTAATTACCAAGGCTTGGAATGAATCTAATCTTTCAACTGAGTACAAAAATTGAAGAATATTTATACTGTGAAATGCCCACTATAGTCTATGTGCAACTCGAACTGAGGGCTCTAAAATAAGTGAAATTTATCTATATTTTACATTGTAGTACATTGTTCAGTTCATGAAGTGTATAAAGTGGAAAATGGGCTTCACAATTTTAAAATGCTTCACATCAGCTGATGATTCCTATATTAAAACACGAGTATAGGAGTGTTTTATATATATATATATATATATATATATATATATATATATATATATATATATATATATATATATATATATATATATATATATATATATAAAACACTCCTACTCGTGTTTTAAATAGTATACATAAACAGCTCCTATAGGAATATTTAATTCTGAACGATCAATCCCACAAATGGCATCGAGTCGAATTCAAAGATGGGCCTTGACGATGTCGGCCTACGAATGTGATATAATTTTTAGACCTGGAAAGAAGAATAGCAACGCGGACGCCCTTAGCAGACTGCCGTTTAAGATCGAGCCGAGATCGACGCCGATACCCTGTGAAGTTGTACATTTGATGGATCAGTTGTCCCGAAGATGTAGTGAAAATCAAACAATGGACAATGAGAGTCCCGGTGTTAGCACAAGTGTACCAAACCATGCATGGCTAGCCAACCACCGTGCAAGAGGACAGAATCAAGCCATATTTTACTCGCAGAAACGAATCGGGTGTCCAGGAAGGTTGTATGTTGTGGGGATCGAGAGTGGTGATACTTCTTCTGACTCTTCAAGGAGGAAGTCAGGTCATCGATATCATGCATGAGCACATCCTGGTATGTCAAAACTCGTGGCTACGTCTGGTGACCTGGCTTGGATAAAGTGAATGGGGAACGAGCAAGAAATTGTTCTGCATCATGACATATTCATCAGAAAGTACCACCAAGAGCACCTGTGCATCCGTGGGAATGGCCGCATCAACCATGGCAGAGGATTCACGTGGATTATGCTGGCCCACCAGCATATTAATTTTTGATGCACACTAAGTGGTTGGATATTCACCTGACCAATTCGACTAAAGGTTGAGAAACTACGAATGACATTTGCAAGTCGGGGGCTACCCGAAATGGTGGTTTCAATAATAGTCCTGCTTTCGTAAGCAACGTATGAATTTCTGGTGAAGAATGGAATGCGACATGTGAAATCAGCCCCATATCACGCATCATCAATGGTGTAGTGGACAAGCCTTAAACAAGCAATGGAGAAACAAAAGGGAACTTTGCAGACAAGATTGTCGCGATTTCTGTTTAAGTACCGGATTACATCACACACTACTACCGGCCAAGCTTCAGCGCAATTACCTTGAGGGGAGAGTTACGTTCTTATCTGACGTTGGTGCCGCCCGACACCAGAAAAACGTACGGTACGATATGCTCAAAATAGACAAAAATTTCAACATGATCAGCATTCGAAGCCAAATAATATTTTGAATGGAGATGAAATTTGGATACGAAGTTATGCAACTCTCGATAAGTGGTAGAAGTGTTTTGTAAAAATAAGGAACAATTTGTGGTTACACCATGTTTATAATTTAATTCTTACAGTAAAAAATACAAAGGTTTCTTTAGGGCTTTGTAGATGGAAATTTCGAGAAGCAGTCTTCTGGTAAGGAGATAGACAAAACTGGACCAGTTTCTGCAAAAATTGAAATGGAAGACACAAAAGTGGTACGATGACATCACGATCAGATCGGTCAGACGCCAACCACACCTAAAACTGTTTTACAAGATAATGGCAACATTCTTACTGAAGGTGATTCAAATGCAAGTCAACAGAGCATTCCATTGAGGAATCGAGTGAAACTAACTAGACGTTATGTTACAAGAGAGCGTCTGCAAAAACTGAACAATTATATGGTGCGACTTTAAATAGTTATTATCAATTAGTATAGGTAATCATGCGATGGCGAGTACAATTGGGGATTAATAGTATGAGTGATGTTTGGAAATTTTGCCAAAATTGTACGAGCCGCCGGGGCGAGTCCAATTTGGCAAATTTCCAAACATCACGAGTACTATTAATCCCTAATTGTACGAGCAACATTGCATGCTTACTTGTTTATTATTAGCATGACAAAATTGGATACTTCTCAATGTCAAAATTGGATACTTCTCAATGTCGTATTTTCATTTAGTTCTCTTGTTAAAGCAAAATCTGGTGCTGTTTGTCTTTCCATCTAGTTCCTCTAGGGCAATTTCATTTCACATTTGTGTTTAAAATACCTTTCCGCCATTTTGTTTGTTTTGGGAAAATCATTAAGGTTACAGGACACCTTTTTTGGCGTTTTGTGGAAAATCGCTACTGCGCGCTCAAAATCAGTCCGATTTTCATCAAATTTTCACCAAATGTTAGCCAGTGCATGCAAACACAATTTTGAAACTGACGTCTTTAGCTATGTCCTGTGAAAATTTGAGAAAAATTCGTTAAAACCCGCAGGAGCACAACTCGTTCAAAAATCAGTAATTGCCGTAAAATTCTTCGCGAGAAAATTGAATTTGAATATTACATTTTCAATGTTTTTCTTATTGCAAGCGAAATGTATTTTATTAAATAACGCGAGTTTTCAACAGTTGGTCAGATAGTAGAACTAGTCTAATGCTTTCATGGAAACCAATAAAAAAATTTTAGGCAAAATTAACACTCAAAGGTGTTCTGTAACCTTAATTGTACTGCAGTGCAGTACAATTAATGAAATAATTGTAGGCTACTCCTCTCAACCAATCAGCATCCAGTAATTTATTTTGTCATGCTAATAATAAGTTAGATTAATAAGTTGTTTGAAAATTAAGATAGAAGAAAAAAAAGGACTTAGGAGGGAGGAATGTAGAAACCGTTATTAGTCTTGTAACCAAATGAGTGAGTGCCCTACATAAACAGACATGGTAATATCTTTATGTGAATATGGCATTAATCTTGTTGTAGTTTGTTTATCTACCGAAAACCATGCAAAATACTTAAAATACTATATTAATTTCATGAGAGGATTCATCATATATTATACCTATCATATAACTAAACAATACTGAACGAACGTAAACACTAAATCTAGCTATACGTTCACCCACTACGGTCACTCTAGTAGTAGTAATATCAATTAAGAAACTTTTGCATTTACAAAATGGTTCAGTCGAAAAAGGTTTTTACTGAAATGGCGCTATGTCAGTGACAGTTAATGCTAATGACGCGTCGACGCGACAATGATTTGTGTGCCGATTTTAGTCTAGATGTCTTAGATTCACATTGATATCAGTAGAAAAATTAAATAACAAGTCATTTGACGACACATCACCAACTGGGACGTGCTTTATGTTGATATACATTTTTCCGCGTAGTATCACAACCGAAACAGGTTTTAATCTGACTTTTCTATGCTGGCTAAACCACAAGGTTAGCACTATTTTCCATCCAGCAAACTGACCTGACGTCATTTTCGGAAGATGGAAGAGGTGCTAAATGGCAATAGATAACAAGACGCGGACGTCAAGAGGACGTGAAAATGACGTATGCACCTCGCGTTCACTTCCGGGTTTTAATCTGGGACGGCTAGGCTTGTTTGTCTTTTTCGAAGCAAAGTTTTGTTTTCTTGTTACCTGTTCATTCCTGTATTGTTTTCAATCAGTTGTAAAGATATGTGCAAGAAAAGGCTATATAATACTGGCCAAGTGCATGTTTCCTGATGAATTAGTATGAACATTCAATAAGTTTTTTTTTAGAAAAAAACGTTATATTTCTGTATTTTGAAAAGAGAACTTTGTTGCATCATTTGGAATAAATACAATACTCAATAGCTGCAGGTATTGTTTACGAGCTAAATGCTTTATTGTAGCCTATTCAATCAAGTTTGTCAACTGTTCAGTATAAATATAGCATCAGTGTTTATATTGGTAAAATTTAATACTGTTTACGATAGTTTTTCACGCTGGAAAGCGTTTTTTTGCTTGTCCTACTTTTTGCACTGTTGTGACAGAGGCAACTAAAATTGATTGAGTTTTTACTGCTTTCTATTTTCCCACGTTTTCCTGATTTTAAACAGTTGTTAATATAACTTCAGTTTAGTTTGTTCTAAAATATTTGTTTTGGTGAAGATTACTAGCGGTATTGAAGTGGTTATTAACAATGCTTGCAGTTTTGTTGATTTGTTTATGGCGACCGAAAGTATTTGTCGAAAATCAACTCGTCTAAAATTTAGCGAAATACAAGAAAAACAACCTTGTCAATGGAAACATTTTAGCTAGTATCATTAAACAATACATGGGGAACAAAATAGGATGATTTTTATTATGCATAGTCTCATATTTTTTTCAAAAGAAGCAAAAACCTGTGACGTTCTAGAGAGTACGTGAAAATTGTATTTTTGCGTCGTGAAATCGTCCACTAAGACGACGTCGCAAACCAGAAGCTGACGATAGTTGGCGCCAACTGACGACATCCACGTCCTCTTGACGTCCACGCCTTGTTATCTAAAACCGTCTAAATGTGACCAACCCAAACCCTACCCCTGTTCTTACCCCCGACCCTAACCGCAATCCTAACTATATAACCCTAAAAAAGATATGCGTTGGAGCAGCTGCAGTTGTCAGCTCAGCATTGCTTGGGTATTTCTTATACAAGAATTATTTTCAATCGAAAGAGGTATGACCATTGAAAAATTGTCAAACCACATTCGAAAATCTGGCAATCATATACTAACGATATTTTTTTTTAACAGGACATCGATGAAGAAGAAGATGATTCATTTAAAACTGAATCAAATTCAGCCGAAATGAATGAAACTCAAAACATGAATTCAACTGAAGATGTTACCGAAGCTGAAAACGGGAATTCGACTAAAGTCGTTAACGACGCTGGAGCCAGCAACACCAGCCAGTGTTCAAGCCAGCATCAATCCAAAAATAAGGGCAAAAAACCACCGAGCAAGTCTACAACAGGCTACATGGGCCTTCGCAAGGGTTTCTTGCTGAAATAGATTAGGTAAATGTCATCAGCAATGTAAATCTTCCAGTACGGTCAAACAAATCCTTACTCATTGATTGTACTTTTCTTCTTTTTCTAGATGATCATGCAAGGTTGTCAAGAGATTGTAGTTTAGTTTATAACTTAGTTAAGGTTTTTTCATTAATCATTAGTGTAGTTAAATTAAATTAAGTTTAATAATATTGTAATAAGTTTTATTGAAGTTTTGGAATAAATTTTGGAAAAAATGATGGTGTCATTATATAAATATACCCGGTTTTTGAATAAGCAAGGTTGACCTTTCAAGGTCGATCTTTTCATTGACAAGTAGACATAATTTCACCTTTATCATTGAGTAAACAATATATGTATTTTGTTTTATACCAAATGTCAAAGTTAATTTTCATTGGCTTTTAATTGGACCACGCCTGACGGTCTAAATTCCTCGAAACTAACGAGAAACATTTTTCTTTAGGAAACTGTTTCGCTAGGGGGGGGGGGGGGG